CCCTCCTCCAACCACCCAGTCTCAGTCCCCTTGTTTACCTATAAGTACAGTAGCCTGGTTGGTAAAGTTCCCCAGAAGTCAGTCCTCACCTGTAACATTCTCCCTCAGCAGTCCTCCCTCCTTCATATTCCCTGAGTAATCCACAGCCCACCATGTCCATGAGCATGCAGATCCCCAAGCCTGGTTTTCCAGCAGGGTGTCATGCTGGCCTGGGGCCCTGTCTGCCTGCCCAGGAACCTTGCACACTTGTATGTGGGTCCCCAGACCCCGTCTGCCAGAGTGGCGACATCTGCCCTTAAGCTATCTTGAAAATAAAAATAGAATAGGCAACAATGCTGGCACACTGGTATAGTTAATATAAATTTGATATTAACCGGGCCCGGCGCGGTGGCGCACGTGGTTAAGGTCCTCGCCTTGCACGCCCGGGATCCCATATGGGCGCCGGTTCTAATCCCGGCAGCCCCGCTTCCCTTCCAGCTCCCTGCCTGTGGCCTGGGAAAGCAGTCGAGGACGGCCCAAAGCTTTGGGAACCTGCACCCGCGTGGGAGACCCGGAAGAGGCTCCTGGCTTCGGATCGGCATAGTATCGGCCCGTTGCGCTCACTTGGGGAGTGAACCATCGGATGGAAGATCTTCCTCTCTGTCTCTCCTCTCTGTATATCCGCCTTTCCAATGAAAAAATAATAAAAAAAAAAAAAAAAAAAATTTGATATTAACCAGGCCCTGGATGCCTGCCAACTATTAGATACTCTTCTCCCAACAGTGTAACACTTGCCTAGGTGCAGTGCAACCTAGGCAGCTGCCTACAGCTGGGGTATTTATTTATTTAAAATGTAGGAATACAGATTTCTTATCTGTTGGCTCACTCCCCACATGTCCACACCAGCTGGAGATAGACCAGGCCAAAACCAGGAACTCAATCTGGTTCTCCCATGTGGGCGGCAGGGAGTCAACTACGTGGACCATCACCTGCTGCATCCTGGGGTGTACACTGGCAGGAAGCTGGAATGTGGAGTAGAGCAGGACTTGACTCAGGCACTCTGGTATGGGATGTAGGAATCCCAAACACTGTCCTAATCACAATGCCAAACATTCCCTGAGAGCTAGGATTTTTTAAAGCTAACAATTTTGAATGACAACACATTTTCAAAGCTGTTAGCTATCTCCCAAATAATCTTAGGATGTAAATTCAGTTCTTTTAAAAAGAGTTGTTTCCAGAGACAGAGATATAAATGAAGAGAGCTGCTATCAACTGCTTTACTCCCAAGATGCCACCAACGGCTAGGTTTGGACTGGCTAAAGCCAGGACCTAGGAATGCAATCCAGTACTCCCGTTCAGATGGCAGGGACCAACCACCATTGCTGTTTGTAGGCTCTGTGCCCGCAAGAAGCCTGAGCCACTGCTAGAGCCAGAAATACCCCAGGACTCTACAGGGAGACACACACGTCTTAACTATGATTCTAAGCACCTGCTCCAAGCTTGGGTATCCTTACTATGTCCAATCTACAGATAATGAGATGAAGTTTAGTAGAATGAAGTGAAATACTAGAAGTCACACAGCTGTTAAGCATCTGTCACTCTTCCACACCCAAACTCTATGCTCAGTCTCTTCAATTTGAGGAATAAAATTGTTTAACTTATATCACCATTAGTTGATGAATTCAACAAACAAGTTGAACGCCTAGTAGCCAGATCCCAGATAAAACTCTTGATCAGTCTACTGGCTGAAGGGGAAGCAGATATGTTAAACAGACAATTGGATAAAACAGTCTATGGGGGCCAGACACTGGACATAACACTTTAGGAGGCCTGGTGAGGCACACATCCCGTTTCAGCTTGCCTGGGTCTGATATTCTGCTCCACTCCCAACTCCAGCTTCCTGCTCTTGCAGACTCCAGGAGGCAGCAGTGATGGCTCAGGTAGCTGCGTTCCTGCCACCCACATGAAAGACACAGATTATGTGCTCGGCCCCCGGCTTTAGCTTGACCCATGTCTGATTTTGCCTGGCTTTGAGGGATCACACACAGCAGATGGGAGACCTGTGTGTGAGGTTATTAAGAAAGAACACTTCTAGTGCCGAGAAAAAGCAATTCATTCCATTTCATAATCTGGCAAACAAATTCAACCCCATTTGCTCAAGTGCTGAACTAACCGACAACCTTTCCAGCTATATTTGGGAACACTGTGTTGATCCACTGCACTAAAGGCAGTAAATATTCACTATAAATAACTTGTTGCTATTTATCCTACCCATGTCCTCTTTTGTTGTGAGTTAATTGATAGTTGTTCTGGTCTAAAAAGCAGCTGTGGGAGAGTGATTATGAGTCAATTCTCTGTACCAGTGCCACCCAATGGAACTTTCTTGATGATGCACTGTTTATTAAGATAGCTAACCACATGTAGTAATTGAGCACTTACAATGTGGCTGGGAAACCAAAGAGGTGATTTACAAGGTTGTTTAATTTTAATTCATCAAAATAGCCACAGGTGTTTAACGGCTACCTGTCTGGATGGCCCAGTTCTACACCCTGGCAGCTCCACAGGTGGCCTGTGGACCGGCAGTCTCAGCAGCATTTTGTTAGCTGTTAGAAATACAGATTCTCAGGTCTCACCCCAAGACCTACTACTGGTTCAGAATCTGTTAACCAGATACCAGGGTAATTAGTATGCTCATTAAAACTGTAAAAAAAAAAAAAAGCATGCTTACTTCTGGATAAGCTGAAAAAAAGACTGACTGTGGGTTATAGCTATAGTGACTCCTAGAAATTATAGACACTCCCTGTTGAAACCAGTGTCACGTACAGTCTTCTTTCCTTGTCTCTGATTCTCCCTTACCTGTTAAATATGGTAGGAAGAATGGAGGAGAGAGACTGTGACACTGGAATTTAAACCAAGCCAGGATGGGACAAGGGGATGAGGGATACAACGGAAAGATCACATGTTTCTCAGGGAAATTTGTACAACATAAAATGATTTTGCGCATGTCCTGGATAATTACCGAAGATGGACGAGGGGGACATGGAAACCCACTGAACTCCTCTACTTGGTTTAGAAATTATCCACATTCAAAAAAAGATGTGGGGCCCGATGCAGTAGTGTAGCAGATAAAGTCCTAACCTCGAATGCACCCAGGATCCCATATGGGTGCTGGTTCTAATCCCGGCAGCCCCACTTCCCATCCAGCTCCCTGCTTGCAACCTGGGAAAGCAATCGAGGATGGCCCAAAGCCTTGGGACCCTTTACCCACATGGTAGACCCGGCAAAGGCTCTGGGCTCCTGGCTTCGGATTGGCTCAGTTCCAGCTGTTGTGGCCATTTGGAAAGTGAATCAACAGACAAAATATCTTCCTTTCTGTCTCTCCTCCTCTCTATCTGACTTTGCAACAAAAATGAATCTTTAAAAAAAAAAAACACAACAGACGTGATTTCCGAGCAAAGGGGATCATCAGTCCCTCAGGTTGCCCCCGGCCCCTAGTCCTTCCTTTGGTAAGCCTGCCTTTGCACAGTTTCCTTCCACAATATGCGAGGGCTTGTTCACGTGACCACAGCGGGGGTGGCAGGTGCAACCTCTAAGAGGTAGGCCATTAGTGTCTCGCTCTCTCAGGTCTCTTGCTTTGAGGGAAGTGCATACCACCCGGGAGGACACTCAGAGGACCTGAGCTTTCTTGCCAACAGCCAGGCCCCCAGGGTTCCCAGCACGTGATCACTATACATAGGCTGACATGCTAACAACCCTTGACAAGATAACGCATTCACTTTAATGCATGGTAAAACATGTAACAGATATAAATTCTTTCTTTTCTAAACTCCTAACAGGCTAATCTACGTAAGCATTAATTTCAGTCTTGGAAGTGTCTCACAAGAACAAAAAGGTCGTCTCTCCCTCAGGGTCCACCAACAAGCTACATTCTTGAATGACATGCCCCATCCTCTTCTTCCTTCGCCAAGCACCATACTCTGGCTAACAGTTTCTGGGTGCTTTAGAGGAGCCCCTTCTTGCCCCCTTGTTCCACCCCCACCCCCTTCATTTGGGAGGATCGGATGATGAGAAACTGCTGGGGAGGAAGAGCAGGTACAATGGCCAGCCACACCTGAGGGTTTACTTCCTCGGCTAGGAAGGGCATTGGAGTCACTAGGTATGGACATCTGGCCCTGGTCAGAATGCCTTCCCCCACCCGACCTCAAGTGTGTGTGTGTAGGGTGGGTTATGTGGCTCTGGCCTGCAAGCCTTCCCCTATACACACCCTGCATGTGTACAGAGGGTGGGGCTGGGGAGACCCGCATGGGGCAGTCTGAAGAGGCATCCTAGAGCCGGGAGCACGGAGACACGACAGCCATTTTCCCCTTCCTCAACTCGTGCCCAGCTTGCATGGGACAGAGCCGGGCCCTCTGTGGGGTACCCCCGGGGCCTGGGGCTAGAAGCCTTAACACCAGAAGAAAACCTTGCCCCAAAGCCGCCCCCACCGCCGGCAGATTCTCTGGACTTCAAGGCCTTAGAGCAAAGGGAGGCAGCACTTCGGGGCTTGAGGAACCAAACGAATTTCCCGCCAACAGTGATTGACAGGGCGGGAGCTGAACCAGACTTTTTGAATTTGCAGAATGAAAAGAAAATGCCACGGCCTCTGACCCCGGAGTCACCTGCGGTGGATCCACTCTGGTTGGACTTACTTTTCCTCAGAGCAGTCGGGCTGGGGAGCAGGGTCCTGCGTGGCTGTGGGGAAGGTGGGGGAGGCAAGGAACATGGAGCTTAAAGGGACCAGCGTCTCCGTTCCTGACCAGGTCGTCCCCGGCCGTGCGCCTTGGACGCGTCTCGACGGGGAAGGACTGGGCTGGGCACAGCGGGGGTGTCTCGGGCCGGCGACCCTCCCCGCCCGCCGGGCACCGACACAAACACACGCACGTGTGCCCCGCCCCCGCCGCGCGCACGCGCCCCAGGCCCCGGCGGCGGCGACGGGCGCGCGCGCGGTGCTCGCTGCCCCCACGCCGCTCCCGCCGCTCGCTCGGATCGCTCCCGCAGCACCCCACGACAGGCCCGCGGACTCCGGTGAAGGTGGCGGCCGTGGTCGGTGGGCTCCGAGTGGGCGCAGCGCTCGAGGCGGCGGCGCGGTAAGCGAAGCCGAGCCCGGCGAGTCACCGGGAGGGCGATGTGGCCAGGCGCGGGCCCCTGCGTAAGGCGAGCGCTGTGACAGGCCGGCCAGTGAGGCGCCGCTGGGGAGGCCGCGACGGAGCTCCCGGACTGGCCATGGGCTGAGACGCATCCTCGCCGAGCAGGTGCAGTGACCCGAGGTCCCGGGAAGGGAGTGGGGGTGGGGTGGTCCTACCCCCGAGATGCCCCGGGGACCCTCAGCTTCATCAGGACGCACCTTGCTCTGCCAGATGCCCTGATGACCTTCCTTCCCGCTCCTTGCAACAGGCCCCGCTGACCCCGCCTCCAGTCTCGGCTGGTGCAGTCTCTGTCATTCCTCCCCCACCCCTCAGCAGTTCCTGGCATCCGTGCATATCCTCAACAACCATAGGTCTCCAGCGCAGCAGGCCCTCATGCTCTCTCTCTCCTCCTGTCCCTGTCCTTTGAGTCCTCTGCCTGCGCTGTACCTGGGAATCACCCAGCACCTCTTCCTTTGGCTTCCTGCTCAAAGGGGACAAGGAGGGAGGGGTAGTCCTTGCCTCCAGAGTCCCTGCTGACCACAGACTCATCCCTCTGTCTCCCAAGCCTGTAGTGAGTGACCCTTCTGTACCCACCCCCACCAGAACATGCCGGGGTGAGTCCCACCCGAGATCTTCCCAGTGGCCTTCCTCGACCTCCCCAGCGACACTATGCAACCCCAGCATGACCTGCGAGGCCTCCGGCTCCTGTTGCTGTCCTTGTTCCTGCTCCTCTCCGAGGTGGCCAGAGCTGGCCGAGCCGTGGTCAGCTGTCCTGCCTCCTGCTTGTGTGCCAGCAACATCCTCAGCTGCTCCAAACAGCAGCTGCCCAACGTGCCCCACTCCTTGCCCAGCTACACAGCCATCCTGGACCTCAGCCACAACAACCTGAGCCGCCTGCGGGCCGAGTGGACCCCCATGCGCCTGACCCACCTGCACTCCCTGCTGCTGAGCCACAACCATCTGAACTTCATCTCCTCCGAGGCCTTTTCCCCAGTCCCCAACCTGCGCTACCTGGATCTGTCCTCCAACCAGCTGCGCACGCTGGATGAGTTCCTGTTCAGTGAGCTGCAGGCCCTGGAGGTGCTGCTGCTCTATAACAACCATATCGCCGCCGTGGACCGCTGCGCCTTCGACGACATGGTGCAGCTGCAGAAGCTCTACCTGAGCCAGAACCTGATCTCCCGCTTCCCCCTGGAGCTGGTCAAGGAGGGCGCCAAGCTGCCCAAACTCACACTACTGGATCTCTCCTCCAACAAGCTCAAGACCTTGCCGCTGCCTGACCTGCAGAAGCTGCCAGCGTGGATCAAGAACGGCCTGTATCTCCACAACAACCCGTTGATCTGCAACTGCGAGCTCTACCGCCTCTTCGCCCACTGGCAGTACCGCCAGCTGAGCTCAGTGGTGGACTTCCAGGAGGACCTGTACTGTATCAACGCCACCAAGCTGCACAGTGTCTTCAACCTCAGCTTCCTCAACTGCACGGAATACAAGGAGCGCGCATGGGAGGCCCACCTAGCGGACACCTTAACCATCAAGTGTGACACCAAGCAGCAGGGCATGAGCAAGGTGTGGGTGACTCCAAGCAATGAGCGGGTGCCGGAGGAGGGGGCCAATAGCACGGTGACAGTGTCCAAGGATGGCAGCCTGCATTTCAAGCGGGTGCAGGTAGAGGATGCCGGTGTGTACACCTGCCATGCCGTGGGGGAGACTTTCAATGAGACGCTGTCTGTGGAACTGAAAGTGCACAATTTCACCTTGCATGGACACCACGACACCCTCAACACGGCCTATACCACCCTGGTGGGTTGTATCCTCAGTGTGGTCCTAGTTCTCATCTACCTGTATCTCACCCCTTGCCGTTGCTGGTGCCGGGGGGTGGAGAAGCCCACCAGCCACCAAGGAGATAGCCTCAGCTCATCCATGCTTAGCACCACACCCAACCATGATCCAATGGCTGGCGGGGACAAGGATGATGGCTTTGACCGGCGGGTGGCCTTCCTGGAACCCACTGGCCCCGGGCAGGGTCAGAATGGCAAGCTTAAGCCGGGCAATACCCTGCCAGTGCCCGAGGCTGCTGGCAAGGGTCAACGGAGGATGTCAGATCCGGAGTCAGTCAGCTCAGTCTTTTCTGATACACCCATTGTGGTGTGACCAGGATGGGTTGGTGGGGGAGATTATGCCCCCAGAGAGGTAATGCACCCCTGAAGGATATGAGGGGATGGAACAGAGAGAGAGAGGGGGAGAGAGAGAGAGAGGGCTGGCTGCTCCAGGGAGGGGTTTCTCTTGACCTCAAGGGAACTGGTCATGGGTGCAACGGCAAGCAGAGACCCCGGTGAGAGTGTGGCCACCATGCTTTTCAAATATGGGCATATTAATCCTCAGGCAAAATGCGATACCCCTACCCAAAGCCCTGGCAATTCTGCACGTGGTGGAGGGAAAGGAGCAGGTTTGAGCTGGCTGGGGATGAAGACGAGGTGAGGGAAAGCACAGATGGGCCACCATCCGAGGTCATCCCTAGCTCCTTTAGAAAAAACTGCTTCAGGCAGAGGGGAATCTTTTTTTCTCTCTGCCTGCCCACACCTGTGATGTGTGTGTTGGGGGAGCCTCCACAGGAGCCAGCTTGGGGATGAGCTGTAGTGTCTGCTTGAGACAGGAAGTCCCACTTCGCCACTGGGGACTTGAGCAGAGGAGTAAGGCAAAGGGTCGAGACCTCAACTCTCCAGGGATGCCGGGAGACTTCCTGCTAAAGCCTGCCTCTTTCCTGATGAGCCCGGGCATGCACAGAGGCCTGCAGGAGCCTGACCTGTGGCCTGTTTATCGTGGCAGCAGTGTGGCAAGCGGGATGTGTGCCTTGTTTTGGGACCAGTGGCACAGAGGGATCCAGCATAGGTACCAGCATAGGACCTGCAGAGAGCTTCGGGGTGGGGGGTGGGGTGGTGAGCTATAGATGGGCTAATCTCCTGCTTGGTGAAACCTTTGGTTCCCAACATCTGTATGTCCAACCAGGGTACGGCTGTAACAGTTGAGCTTTTGTGGCTGTCTGCCGCAGGCAGAGTATGTGGGCCCCTTTCTCACTAGAAGGACAAGAGCAGATCGGCTCTGCCTGATTTCCTGGGTTTGCCATCTCTTCCCTGGGCCTCTTTATCAAGCTCCCGGGGGTGGGGGCAGGGGGAGATTCTGAGTGTCCCCTAATGCATAGCTGAGCCAGGCTGGGGCTTCGGGATAGATCTCCTCTCTAAGCTATCGTTCCTGTTGCAAAGCCCAAGTGTGGGGGTTGGCAAGTAGGTGGCCTGTGGCCCGGAATGGCGATTTGGCGTGTGTGGTGTAGGGCTCAGCCCTTTTGCCACAAGGCTCCTCTCAGCAGTCCTGAAGCAGAGGTAACCAATGGCACTGAGCTCTTGGAAGGAAAGTTCTGCCAGCCCAGCCCAGCCTCTTGGTCAGAGAAGGCTGTGTGGTACTGTTTGTCAGGATGGAGGGACTTGAGAAGAGTGAGCCCAGCGTTACCTTCCCTGCAAGGTTGCTGCATACTTGGCATGTGGAGCTGACGGCTTCTGTCACTTCCCCGCGGCCCACAGACCCTGGGCGGGGCTGCTGCTCTACACAGAGGCCAGGGAGTGGCCGGGAGAGCAGGGCGGAGGTGAAAATGGTCCCTGTGGTCCTTTTCTGTGTGTTATCTCTACCACGTTTTCTGTCTCCTGCAAATTCTCCAGGTCCTCTGTAGTTTTCTGATCTGCTTTCTTAGCTCCAAGAAGTGTTGTCTACCTGGGGGTGATGGGGAGGGCTGTGGCTAGGAGCGCCTGAGTGTGAAGTGTGGGGAAGAGGACTGGAACTCAGGATCTCCCCCTTGCCAGTTGTAGGGATCTCAAGGCTGCCGGCCATTCTTCATGGTAACCTTGTTTTGGAGAGAAAGGGGAAGAGAGATGGAAGTGCAGCATTTCCCCAAGTGCTTGCATGCTCCTAGGTGTGCATACACAGCAGCACCCTGACTTCCTCAGGACACGGAATCTCATGGTCCCCACAGATGCCGTTTTCAGAATGGTCTTCACCGACGTGTGCAACTGCATGCACACCATCTTGCCCCACAGGAGAGAGACAGTGAACACACCAGGATCCTGTCGCATGCAAACTCCTCTGCTTTAGCTTCCAAACTCCCTGAGGCTCCACTCACCTCTGCATAGCACTGAGTTGCCTTTCTGTGAAGGGCTAAAGAGCTTGAGAGAAGGAGTCATGAGGGACTGGCTGTCTCCTCAAAGGGGGAAAAATGTGTGTGTGAGAGAGAGAGAGAGACAGAGAGAGAAAGAAAGAGAGAGAGAGAGAAGGAAACAATGATAGGAGATGTTCGGTAAAGGACCAGCAGGGGGGAAATTACCTGTAAGCTGCCATTGCCCCAATATGACACAGGCAGGAGGGCAGAGTGGTCTGTTTCTATTCCAGAGACTTCTGAGGATTTTGTTACTAGAGCTGTAGGTGCTAGGACACCCTCAGGAACCCTGGGAAAAACTCTCCCCTCTTGGCGCTCTCTAGGCACCCCTCCCCTGCCCGCCTTCCCCACCAAGAGTCAAGTGAAAGTGCAAATAAAGCAAGCCTTCTGCTGGAGCGGTGGGTTCCAGCTGCGTTCCTCTCATGTCCTGCCAGCTCTGGGGATGAGAAGGGGCCTTGCAGCTCTCCACTTCATACCTGGTCTGTTCATTTGGCTCCCAGATGGAGAAACCTGGTAAACACGCCTGCCCTACCCGGCTCCTGTCCCCACCGAGATTCAGCTGATGGACCCCTTCCCCTTGTGTCTGTCACTAGAAACCAAAGGTAGCTGTGTACCTGGCATTATGTAAACCCTTCCTCCCCACATAGGAAACAGCCAGGTGTGGTTAGAGGAAAAGGCTGAAAGGTCATCTTCTCCCTTCCCCCGCCCCATCCCCAGAAACCAGACAGGCCTCCCAGGAAGCAGGTGTCCTTGGAGACAGAGGATGACAGGGCTCTACAATCTGTCTGTGTGATTATATTTGTAGTCTTTTTTCTTTGCCTGTATTTATGCCCGCTCCCACCCCCACCCCCACCCCAGGAAAGGGGCCGGAAGAGAGTGTGCACCCCAGCTGGGGAGAGCAAAGCTGACTAGTTCCCGTTTCCTGTGTGTTTTGACCTCTGTACTTCCTGGTGGCCCTGCTGGCTAAGCAGCAGGCCTCCTGTGTCCGGGACCTGCCCCCTCCCCACCCCGCTGCCTCCCACTGTGTACAACCTAGGCTGGCACGCCTCAGAGTCTCTAGGCTCTGAAAATGAGACAATGATCATTAAACCTGGCTTGAGTCTCTGTTCTGGCACAGGCTGTGACTGGTTCATTTATCTTTTCAGCATGTGGGTGGGCCTGTCGGGGAGGGAATGCTTAGATGGTGTTAGCAGGGCATGGGTACAATACACAGCTAGGCATCAAAGTAGTCTATGAGTCAGCAGACTCTGTAGCAAGCCAGATAGTGACATGTCCAGTTATGGAGGCCATACCTTCTCTGTTAGAACTCAGCTGTGCCCCCTTTAGCAGGTGACAGCCACAGTTAACACATCCACAAACGACTGTAGCTCTGTTCTGTTGCATGCCTACAGTGTCTGTTGCTGTAAGAAAACACCCGAGGCACTTTATAAAGAAAAGACATTTATTTAGCTCACAGTTTTGGAAGGTGATCAGGGGTCCCAGTATTTGGCTGTTCGTCGAGGGACTAATGGAAGACTTTAGGCAAGAGCCTGGCCATGGCAAGAACATATATAGAAGAGATATCATTGGCAACAGGGAGCCAGAGACATGCAGGAACCAGGCTGGCTTTATTTATCTATGTATTTAAGATTTTCATTTTATTTGAAAGTGAGGGAGATTTGTTTACTAGTTAACTCTTCAAATGCCCAAACAACCAGGGCTGGGCTGGGTCAATGTTAGGAATCCAGAACTTAAATCTGCTTCTCCCACATGGAGCTATCACTGCTGCCTCACAGGATGCATATTAGCAGACAACTGAAGTAGAGTCTCTCTGACACGGGCTGTGGGTGTTCCAGTGGTATTTTAATTATTGCATCAAAAACCTACCCTTTGGTGTCTTCCTAATAACACTCTGATGGGAACTGAGCAGGGCCCACAAAAGCTTTTCTGAAGGTGAGGTTCCCCAGTGACCTGATTACCTCCCACTGGGCTTTACTTCCTAAAGGTTTCCTCTCCCACCATCATCACACCGCACTGAGGACCAAGGTTCCAGCACATGAACCTTCCAGGGGACATCATAAAAACCATATCCAAAACAGAATCCAATAAAAATTATATTTATAGACATTGAAATTTGAATCTCATATAATTTTGACATGTCTTTGGTGTCTTTTCAACCATTTAAAATTGCTAAGAGCTTGTGTTAGCTCACAGACCACACACATTACCAGGGAGCTGGCAGCTGTGACCAGCACACTAAACTGCTTGGTGGACCTCTGAGATAGATCCTCAAAAGAAAGGTCCCTGAGGTGCTAGCAAGTGAGAATTTAGAAAACCCACAACATAGAGCTAAATTGGTAGGTCATGAAAGAGTTCTTGGATCTCTAACATGCACGATGGAAAAATGATGGGCCTGGGTCGGAAGCAATGGAGAGCAGTTCCATTTCACTGCCAGAGTGTCTTGATGTTGTGAGTGGTTCATTACTGCCAGCATGTTTTCACCTTCATTAGGCTCAAGGTTTGTTCAACGCAACTGGACAGGTTAATGACAGTGTAGTGAGTCCTTAGCACGGATTGGAAGCAAACAGCTCCCCCTTTGGTAGGTGGAGCCTATCAGAAAGTGGACTGAATTCTGAACTCCAGCCACGCAGGTTCTTTGGTCACTTTCTTGGTGCTTCTGGAACAGGTTTGTCATGGATTCCAAAAAGGGGATGGGAAAGGATATGTGGGAGGGGGACAAAAGACATCAGAGTTTGAAATTATTACCTAATTTCTTTTAAAAAAATTTTTCTAATTTTCAACGTATAAAATCTTATCCAAAGGGGAGCTCTCCTTTATCCAGGAAGTTAGATTTTTAAAAGGCTTATTTATTTTTATTTGCAAGGCAGAGTTACAGTCTGCAGTCAGGAGCCAGTAGCTTCTTACAGGTCTTCTGTGTGAGTGTAAGGTCCTAAGGACTTGAGTTGTCCTCTGCTGCTTTCCTAGGCACATTAGCAGGAAGCTGGATCAGAAGTGGAGCAGCTGGGTCTTAAAGCAGTGCTTCTATAGGATGCTGGTGCTGTAGGCAAAGGCTTAAGCAGCTAGACCATGACTCCATCCCCAAAAGTCAGCTTCTCAACTTCATGAGGAAGCAGTGGTCTGGTAAGGCAGAAACACTTCCTAAGCAGCCATATCAGAGCAACCTTGGGCACCAGTGATATGTGAGATGCTGATGCCAGAGCACTCCTACAGTCTATGTAGCTGTTCACCTTCGCAGGTGCAGTGCTGGCCATCACTGACAGCTTGGATGAGAGGACGAAACTGGCAACAAGAACATGTGTGGAGGAGACTAACAGACTTTTCCCCTGCATTTTGACCTGTGCCAACCCCTGTCTCTGAGCCTGAGATGCTTTGATGCTTCTGTCTCTGTTGTCCCAAGGAAGTCCATGGTTGTACCTCTTCAACCCTTCCTGCTCCACCACTAACCCACCACAGCCCACAAGCACTTCCCAAGGTTCTTGTCAAGGTGTGCCCTTCTGCCATGTCTTGCAGCACTTTCCTGAACCCCTCCTTGGTACATCTCAGGGCAGTGGGGAAGGGATGGGTGCTACCGATAGTTGCTTTTCAGCAGATGCGAGCTCAGTGCTCCACAGGGAAATGATGCTGGGGCTTGGGAGAGGACAAGTAACGCAGCTACCTGTTGGGTCCTTCACCAGACAAACACACTACCAGCAGGAAAGGGCTGGTGGGGAGCATACTTAGGCTTCCCAGTTTGTATTGGCCTGGGTGTGGTCCCTGGCTTGCAGAATGCACAGAACCAGGGCCTGGGAGGAGCCACTATCCGGTGAGCCAGGACAGGAAGCCATTTGGCACTGGCACAGAAAGCACATCTTGCTCACTCCCAAAGCAGTGTGTGTACACATGGGGCCCACAAGCTGGGAGTACTGAGAGGTATGCAGTAGCCTCCACTTGGCAGTAGTTAGCCAACGGGGGACTGGGCATCCTTAGGTACCTGCTTTCAGTACAGAGATGCTGCGGCCTCTCAGGTATCTCAATGAAAACAGAGCTGTGTTCTCGCATGCAGAAACAGTTTCTTAATCTGATTCAAGACAAGTCAGAACCTCATTTTGGGATTAAAAACTGGGACTGTTACTCTCTGATCACCTTCCCCCTTCTCTCCCCCACAGTGGGGGAGGGGCACTCTATTGCAGGAGGTGTCTATCTGCATGAAGCCCAGTGTTGTGCTGCTGTGGCTCCTGCCTCCGTGTCCACTCCAAGCAGGCAGTTGGCTGTTCTCACACAAATGGAATGGCAAGGCTCTTTCCTTTAACTTAAACAGAACTGCTCCTGGTGAGCACATGCACACACACTCACACACACCCCTGCATTCCAATTCCAGTAAAGCACTTTGCTTGAGAGGAGGGGGCGAACTGTGATCCAATTCTGAGGGCAGGAAAGGAGTCTGGGAGCCTGGGGCCACGCCCCTCCCGGCTCTGCATCTCCCCTCACCACGCCAACCACGCCACCTGCTGTGTTTTGTTTTCCCCTGGCTTCTCTTCACCTCCTTGCCAGGCTGCCCCCCTTTTCCTCCGCAGGGCAGGACGTGGTAGAAGAGACAGCCACAGGCTTGTGACCAGCAGCTCTGAGGCCAGCAGGATGGACCTGGCGGCAGTCTGTACTGTCAGCTCCCTTAAGAGCACCAGGTGGGCAGCCCTTGGAGCAAAATAACACTAGCTGCAGCCTTGCCAGCATTTCTGGAAGGAGTGGATAAAAGCTGACCTTGTAGCTGGAAAGAAGACCTGCATCAGTGTCCACTTACGAAGGTCAGTGCAGCCTCTGAGTATCATTATCTATGACTGTTCATTGCCTGCTTCGAGAAAGGCTCAGTTAAAAGGACAAGAAACGCAGTTACACCACCTGTTTACATCTGTTTAATGTTTGTTTTCCAGTGCCTGCAAACATTCCTTTCTGGCATCTAACCCCCCACAACAGCCCTGTGAGGTAGGTGGAGCAGTGAGTTGATCTGCCCGTGGCTACACAGGGATGAGAACCTGATGGAGACCCACACTGCTGCCTGCTCCCGGAGACAATGCGCCTTTCATTTCATAACATGCAGGATCTTAATGCCAGTCAGATAAAGAGGCACCACATGCAAAGGACCCCAACTTTTCCAGTTCCCTGAGTTTGCAGAAGGGGCCTCAGGATTACAGATGCCCTCTGGAGGCAGAGGAGGGTAGCAAAGATTTGGGGTGAACAGCTGCTGCTGCTGCTGCTGCTACTGCCAGTCATTGCCAAACACACATGGTATTCCCAACACAGCCTGACCTTCATCGGATGCAAAGCCAACCAAGGTAGGTCGCTGACAGTGGCTCTCAGTGCCCACCTGCAGGAGAGGGGTACCTCAGGGCATGGCTAGGCGACAACACTCCTGACTACCCCCACCCCCAACTCCCACAGGGCCTCCCTTTTCGGGGCCAGGCAGAGGGGGAAAGTGAAGGCTGGCTGACTCAGTACGCAAGTGCTTAGGGATCTGGAGCTGAAAGGTCCCAGCATCATTCAGCTAATGATTATTATTAACTCTGAACAGGCCTCGGCTCAGCAGCCAGCTGGCTCCCAGTGCATGCCTGGATCTCCCTCTGTGAGGTTTTCAAAACAAGACCCACAGCATCCAGGCATGGAAGTGCAGGGCTGGGGATAATGACAAAAAAGGGACAGTGGGGAAGGGTTAGTCGGCCCCATCCCCTATGACAGGGCCGGTGATGGCAGCTGAACAGGCAAGGTGATCCCTGTTAGACTTCCTCAGACAGGGCTTGGAACTCCTGCCATTCTACACCAGCTGCAGCCAAGGCGGTCTCAAGAGGAAGAAGGGGTGGGTACAGGAAAGACTGGGGCTTAGGAGGGTATTCCAAACCCAAAATAGCAACCTTATTACCATTTGGATTTGGATACAAACACCATCCACATTTCTGATGTCCTCAAGGTTGAGTCTGAATATAATCAAACATGGTACATAATCAAATTTGGAATCAGGACTTGGTGAGCCTGATATGGAAATTTGTGCAAATGATAGGCAAAACGTGTAAGTGATTTTTTTTTTATCTGAGCACCCTGTTTTGTTGTTGTTGTTTGTTTTGTTTTCTACTAGCGGCTTTCCCCAGCCCAGCAACAAGAGCAAAAGGGCAGATCTTTGCTTCTGCCACCAGTACCTCTGGCTTGTTGCTGAGGAACCCAGCTCCTACCCCAGACATGGAACATCCAGGAAGATGGGGAGAAGGGAGGGTGCAGGGAGGAAGAAGACTCAAGCAGGAGGCACAGGCAGCTGGCAGACGCCAAGATCCCAGCTGGAGGAAGAGTTTCCTGGCACTGAGGTTTGATGGGGGCAGGGGGTGGGGGAGGGTCCAGCTTCTGCCCCAGCATGAGAGGGCAGGTGGTGATAGGGGAAGATACCAAAAGCTGGGCGGTGAGGCAGCACCACCCTAGCAATCTGGCCTGCCAGAAAGGGCTCCCCCTGGTGACCCCTCCCTATACTGCACTCAGACTCAACTAATCAGGAGACCACCTGTGCCCTCCCCTTTGCCCTGCACTCCCCGCTTCTGCCACACTGGTCAGAGAGGCGGCAGCAAGGTCCCTTCCTCCTAGGGAATATAAACAACCCCCCTTCCTCCCATGGCTGGGAATAGACATCAGATGGCACAGCCCACGCAAACCGCCGGCTGTCAATGTGCCTGCCCACCCGCCCCCCAGCCCCCGCACCACCTGGGAGCAGGCGACACCTCAGACAGGCTCAAGCTTTCCAGTGTGGCCTGCTTGCTTTCAGAACAAGCTGGTGAACCTCACCTGGCTCTCCTGCCCTGCTGCAGACCAGGTAAAAGTGTCAGTGCTGGCCATGATTGAGGGGAGAGACAAGACAGTTCCTCTTTTGGGACCGCCACCTCTTCCAAGTTCACACCAGCTTGGCAGGTTTGAGAGTGGAGACAGCAATGGAGGAATCAGGAACCCATGCCCTCTACATAAGCAGAGGCCTCATTTCACTGCCAGGGGTCTATAGCATTCCAAGGAGATGCCACCCGGCTCAGGAGGAGCCTCCTGCCCTAGCGAGTTGAATCACACCCAACTTCCCTGCCTCAGAGCCACCAGGGGAGAAGGCCTGGCATCTTCTGCAAACCTGAGAACTCCACCCTGCTGGCATGTACGAATACTCCCCACTGTCCCTACAGGGCAGGGGGCGGGGGGAACCTGAGCTTCTGCCTGTGTACCCCAGAACTGCCACAGAGCAGCCTACTTCAAGCAGCTGGCCTCGCTTCCGTCTGTGCCATGAGCTGAGGACATCCTAGCACCCCCAAATAAGCAGGCCACAGCTGACCCATCAGGCAGTCAGCACTCCCTACCTTTAGTGGGTGTGGGAGTGGGGGAATCTCTGCAGGGAAGGGAGTCTGGCCACCTTTTGCCAACTGGCACTAGAACTCAGCCCTCTCCTGAGCCTAGGGCTGGCAGGAGACATCTCCAAAAACTTCGATGTCAAGAAGAGAAGCGAACTAGGGTAGCTGTTTTGCTCAGGTAGAAGGGCCCTGTCCCACTTCCCTGGTCCCTGTTGGATTCTTAGAGCTTTAAAGAGCTCTACAAAGCTCTGCACTCAAGCAAGAACCTGGGCCCTGGGAGGGTAAAGCACCAGCCTGCCTAGGATTCAGGAGAAGGAAATTCTTAGCATTGTAAATACCCCAGCCATGAGCTACAGCATGTTTAAGCCAGAAGGTTCCCCTACTGTAAAAACTTTAAAGTGACTTTAGTGCCTTTACTGCCACCTAGACCCCTGCTTATCCACAGTGCCTGCCAGGAGACAAGTTGGCAAACTTCTGAAGGGTCACCAGGGCAGACTAGTCCCACTGGGTGAGGACAAGAAGGATGAATGTAAGAACTCCCATCCATAGGCGGCTATGTGAGCCACGTGATCCAGGCTGGGAGAGGGCATTCTGAAGCATCAACCTGACGGACACTGCTTAGAGACTATTTATTAACATTCATTTCTTAAGGCCAGTGGGATGGCACAGTGGGCTAATCCTCTGTCCTGCAGGGCCAGCAACCCATATGGGCGCCAGTTCGTGTCCCAGCTATTCTACCTCTATGTGTCTTGGGAAAGCAGTGGAGCACAGCTCAAGTGCTTGGGACCCTCCACTGCGAGAGACCTGAAAGAAGCTACTGGCTCCCAGCTTCCAGGTGGCTCAAATCTTGCCGTTGCAGCCATTTGGGGAGTAAACCAGTGGATGGAAGACCTTGCTGTCCTTCTCTTTGTAAAACCTGCCTTTTGAATAAAAATAAACAAATCTTTTAAAACAATACATTCGTTTCTCAGCTGAGGAGACTCAAGTCCTGAGATACCCAACTTATGGGAGGTCACACACAACCATACCTAGGAGACCAAAGCCCATGAGCAAGACCCCTGGCCTCTTTCTACCACACAGCGCATTCTCCAAAGTGACTCAGACAGCTGTGTCTACCAAGATAACATCCAGGAACCCTGCACTGAAGTCAGGTGTACAGCAAACAGAAATGATTACCCTAAATCCACCTCTGCCACCACCTGCTACTCCATCTAAGGAAGAGGAAGGTTTTAGGATCAGGCTCTTGAGCACCTGGGGCCTTTGCCCCCTTGAGTCCTCCCTCCCAATAAATAGCACCTTGAGTTTCTGCAGCCCCCACCCACAGCAACCCAAAAAGTGCAAAAAACAAAAACAAAAACAAAACCTGACCACTTCCAAAGCAGGTCCCCTCTGGAGGTCACCAGTGGAAGCACTGAACACCAAGGCTACACCCGGGCCTGGAGGAATTCACGTGTCCATCTTCTTCCTCGGCAGGTAGGAGCTGGAGATCTGGTGCATGATCACCAAGGCTGGGTAGAGGGGCAGTGCCAGGCAGAAATACCAGGCTGCCCCTTTGATCTGGGCCTGGAACCACGCCGAGTACATGCCCAGGAGCACTGTGAGCGTGGCCAGCAGGTAGACCACCAGTCCGCATGTCAGATGGTAGAGCTTGAGACGAGCCACCCTGGAGACCCTGGTAGCTCGGGGACAGAGGAGGCAGAGTCCCCACAGTGCCTGGACGCTGGTGGCCAGCAGGGTCAGCACCCCTACCCAGCTGTGCCAGGACACCAGATGGGGCAGTTCACTGCGGATCCTGCTGGAGACGATGAAGCCCACGCCCAGGGCCGTGCAGAGGATGGCCAGTGTCTGCCCTATCCAGTGCAGCCGGATCCGCGCCTTTCGGGAGCAGCAGCAGAACAGGGAGTGCTCTGGTGAGAACAGCAGGATGGCCTCGGCCATACAGACACAGAACTGTGGACACAGGGGAGGCCTGTGAGCCCCCATGGCACTGACTTGGAGGGCTGAGAAAGATCAGCCGCCCTCCTCCGCCCAAACAAAAAGGACAAAGGGCCCAGGCTGGAGGGCTTCCACAGGGAACCACAGGACAAGTGTCACCATTTAGGGAGGCACCTCAACTCTCAGGGTGAAGGGAAAGCCCAGGGGAGATCACCCCTTCTTATCCCTCCTCTCAGCTTACGCTTCCAGTAGCGGAGGAAGATGTCACGCCTTCTCAACTACGTGATGCTTTCCAGGTGGCCCAGCCCTCCAGGTTTCCCAGGCCCAGGGGTTCTGGGAGTTGTGTATAGGGGCGGCCGTGAAGATGGAGCCACAGCTGTTATGCCCCCTTGTCCCCTGCTCCAGAGACCCTGTTCAAAGGCTGTACTTTTTGAAGGCCGGATGCTATTCTAGGGGTGAAGCCCAGCATATCCACATATCCCTTGCTGATAGAAGCCCAAACTCACCGCCAAGGCCATGAACACAGGGTGCCAGGAGAAAAGACCTGAGGATCAAAGAGAATAGGCTGATGGCCAGGGGGAGGGGGCACCATCCTTCCTGCCCCCACAGTGGCTTGCTGGAGTCCATAGAGTCTGACCACAGGGGAAGGGCAGATGTTTGGTCCCTAACTCAGAATCAGGGATGTGGGATAAAGCACAGTGGTCAGGGGCTATAGGGTGAGCAACCAGCAGGAACGCCCTACAAGCACACACAAGTTTAGCCTGGATTCCTTACTGGGCCCCCCTTTCTTCATGCAGACCCTTTTGGGGAGGGAGTATCCTGCTAGGAAAGAAGTGGTCACTCAGGGCCCGGCATGGCAGCCTAGTGGCTAAAGTCCTCCCCCAGCAGGCGCTGGGATCCCATACAGGTATGCTGGTTCACGTCCTGGCAGCCCCACTTCCCATCCAGCTCCCTGTTTGTGGCCTGGGAAAGGCAGCTGAGGATGGCCCAAAGCTTTGGGTCCCAGGCGTGGGAGGCCTGGAGAAGGCTCCTGGATCCTGGCTTCGGATTAGCTCAGCTAAAGCCCTTGTGGCCACTTGGGGAGCGAATCAGAGCACAGAAAATCTTCCTCTCTGTAAATCTGACTTCCCATTAAAAATAAATAACTTAAAAAAAAAAGTGGTCACTCGGCTCGGTTCATTCATCCTCTCTTCCCCCTGTGACACGCAAAGCCCCACCTTCCCAGGATCCCCTGGACCCGACAACCCCCCCCGCCCCGCGGCCCCCACCACCCTCAGGGCCGCCCGCCCAGGCTCCCTCAGCGCCCCTCCCGAGGCCCCGCCCCTCCCGCGGCCCCGCCTCTCCCGAGGCCCCGCCCCTCCCGCGGCCCCGCCCCTCCCGCGGCCCTCACCACCCTCAGGACCGCCCACCCAGACTCCCTCAGCGCCCCTCCCGAGCCCCGCCCCTCCCGAGCCCCGCCCCTCCCGCGGCCCTCACCACCCTCAGGGCCGCCCACCCAGGCTCCCTCAGCGCCCCTCCCGAGGCCCCGCCCCTCCCGCGGCCCCGCCTCTCCCTCGGCCCCACCCACTCACTGGTTCCTGGCCGCGACAGCACTGTCAGAAAGATGGTGAAGCCCAAAGCCACCAGGTGCGCCACGACCCCGCTGCCCCTCCGCAGCCAGCGGGTCAGTCTCGGCTCCCTCGCTGCAGCGGGAACCAGACCCGCCTCCAGCGGGTGCATGGCCGCGCCGGCCCGCACCGCACCCTTCGAGCAGCCTGAGCGCGTCTTCCGGGTCTGCGATCGCGGAGGCGGCTTCAGGAGAGGCTCCTCCCCGGGGATGCCTCCGGCCGCGCCACGGCGGCGCCCACAGCGCCCTCTCGGGGCTGGGGGGGAAGTGCGCCTGTTGCCCCCGCAGGCCCTGCTGCCAGGACAGCCCGTCGGGGCAGCGTGGGGGACACAAGGGACCTCCCAAGCCCACCTTCCTGTCTACGCTAGTGTCTGGGAAGGCCCGCGTCTCAGGCAGCCGTGGGAAACGCCAAATCCCACACGCGGCAGGCGTAAGCAAGAGTGTGAGGCAGTATCTAGAACAGCTTGGGGGGCGGGCGGGTACTGCGTTTCCCTGGCTGCTCGCTGGCTCCCGCCATCCCTCCTCTCATGTTCGGGGAACACGAATGATTCCTCCTTGCCTGAGAACAAGGAGAACGGCAGGAAAAGGACGCGGCCAGAAATGCAGTGCACTTGTACCTCTTGAATACAGGGTTGAAGACCAGGAGGAGGGAGATGGGTGGCTCCTCCCCTCCCTGCACAGGGAGTCGTCCCACAGAGAAAAATGGAATTGGGGCACTCCCAGTCCTTGCCGCCCCCACGTCAGCTGTTCAACCCCAAAGAGTCTGGGGCCTCCCACACCCCACGTTCTGTGACTGATTACTTTTTTCCTTCCTGTCTGCAAAACAGGAGTGGTTCAGGAGCCCTCCTGGGAAAGGCTCTACCTTTTTCTGGGGTGCCAGTCTACTGACCACCCTCTCCTAATGCAGTTCAGGTTGTAGGGTCCCCAGAAGACCAGAAAAGGGTTGGCAGCCAATTCCCAACGACCCTTGGGGCAAAGCTCCCAGAGCCGAGCTGGGGTCCTCTTGGTGGCACAGGCTCCTGCCTGGCCATCCCATCAGGTCAGGCTCCCAGATACCTCCACGCTGCTTCAGAACACCCAGACGCCCAACTGACCTGCCACCTGCTTCTCGGGGGGTGTGTGTGGGGGTGGGGGACCATCAGGGACAGTAAGGACACTGGTTTCATTACACATTCCTTTCTTCCTTCTGTGTTTCTGTTTGTATATTTCCTTAGCAGCAACAGAACAGGGAGACAGTCTTGAGGTATTTTAAAGAGGTTTTTTTTTTCTTAAAAAAAATAATATAAAGTTATAAAAAGCGGCAGCAGCCTGGGGCCCGGATCTGGAGGGGAGGAGGTGCTGGCAGCTCCATCGCAGTGGGCAGGCACTTTCTTGTTAATGGGCTTTTGACTGCAGGGAGACAAGAGGTAAGAGACAGGGTCAGGGTTGGGGTCTGCCAGCGGTCCTGCCCGGGGACCTGGTGGAGCCACTGAAGGATAGCACCCGACTTCCTACTGGCCTGCTGCGTAGAACTGAGCAAGGGGGAGACGCATGCCTGCCCAGGAGGCACAAGCCTGGCAGGGAAACAAGGGAGGAGGTGTCCCAGGTCCCCCAGCCTAACTGCCAATCCCATGGCTCTCCCCTGGGTGCCAGGCGAGCCGTTGTGCATCTGGTCCATGCCCAAACCAGGGACAGCTCCCTGTCCCACCCCAAGAAGTTTCTCCTGGCTAATGTATGGAACCCATGGCCTGCTGCACCAGGCAAAACAAAGCAAAGCAAAACAAAACAACCCTGGTTGCCTGTTACCTGGAGGTGGGCGCCTGCACGTGGATACACATGCGCATATGTGGACCCTGAGCTGTGTAGCTCTGGGGGTCCTTCCATGACGCCCTGAGGAAAAACCACGAGTGAGACAGCCAGCCCACCTCATAGCTCGGGGACCTCAATTCCCTTGCCATCAGAGGGCACCCAGGCAGCTGCAGGTCCCAGTGGGGCCACAGCAAGCAGCACCCCTGGGCTGAACGCAAAAGCCCAGAGCTAAGGGCTGCCAAGAGGGCAGAGGTCATCACACTGAGGCTGGGGTTATTCCCAAAAGCTAACCTGTCTCGCCCTAGAGCTGATGGCCTGGAAACACTCTCAGCTTCCCTGCCCCCACTGCTGCTGTTGATTGCCTTCTCCATGTCAGCTGCCCACTGCTCCTCATGGCCATCCACCATGCTTTGGGCAGCCCCTTCCCTGCCCATGCCCTCTGTTAGGCTGGGCCTGTACCTTCAGGGTGGAGCACTTCTCCTCGAAGGCCAGGGCTGGGCCCGGCTTCTTGCGGCGTGCAGAGCAGGCCACGTCACCAGGGGCGCCAGGCAGACAGTGCTTGGCCTTCACCGGCCGGCAGTAAGTAGCCAGGTTTTTGCGCTTCTTGGCTGCCTCCTCCTCGGAGAGGCAGTTGGTTGGCAGGTCCTTGGCTGGGTGTCCAGCCACTCCACGGTTCTCCAGCTGAGAGGCCTTGACAGGTGTAGGGGGCTGATGAGGGGAACCCCGACAGTCCGGGGGCCCTGCCCGTTTCATTCGTGGCCCCACTGTCCCATTAAGCCCCATACCCAGGGCTGTCTTGGTCTTGGCTGTGAGGCCCCTACAGCCAGCAGGTTTGCTTTTTCCAGTGGGCTCCAGGATGCAGGTCCGTTTGAAAGTGGTGGGGCCAGGAGATAACTTGCGCTTCCGCGAGGGGGCTTCTGCCTCAGCCCCATCCTTGCCTTTGGATGACTTGCTGGCCTTGGAAGGTGGCAGCTTGCTGAAGGACGGGGACGGCGTGTTGGCAGGCAGCGGTGAGGTGATAGCTTGGCTCCCACCCATGCACTCCGCCTGGCTGCAGGCAGCAGCCACGCTGGGGGAGCCTGCAGGGTAGCTGGGGACGAGGCTGTCCTTGGTGGGGGGTGTGGAGGCTGGGCACGCAGGTCTGGGGGGTAGGCCTGGAAGGCGGGGGCAGCTGCCTGCAGAGGGTGGGCTCAGGGGAGCAGATAATGGGGAGCTGACAAGGTGGGAGGGAGGTTCAGCTGCCGGTGGGATTTTCCTGCGGCAGAAAGAGAACCTTGTGGTGACTGGCAAGCAAACAAGAGGGCCTCCCCACAACAGAAACCCATCCTTGCCCCACCTAGAAACGGCTGGCAGAGCCCAGGGTTGCTGCCATCTGCTGGGAGACATGGGAACTGAGGGCTGGGGAGAAGGCATGGGGAGGGAAGGAGGGAAGGAAGGAAAGAACGAACAAGCTAGCGCACAACGTAGGTGCTAGAAGACAGGCAGGCCCAGTCTGCGCCTCTTTTTACTGCTCCATAATTATCCCTAGTTAGCCAAAAGATACTGGAGGGGAGGAGCAAGAGTCCAGACCACCGGTTCATGCCCTGCCTTAACCAAGCCCCAGGCTGCCACCTGCTAGCACCCTTCCATGTCACTCCCCATCTGGTTCTTCCTGGCAAACAGCCAAGGTGCACCATGGAGGCCCAGCAAGGGAAGTTCTGTCACCTACCCAGCCCCCTGACTCACTTCCACATGTGCGAGCTGAGGTGCCGTTCCAACATGGAGCTGAGTGCTGAGCAGAACCGGTCCAGCCGGCGGCTAAACACATAGCATCCGGGACTCACCAGCCGGCTCCCGAAGGTGCAGAACTGCAGGCAGGCAGAAGGGGCAGGATGGCAAGGCCTCAGTATGAGAAGGGCATCTGCACCCACTCACCACCTGATCTTCTCCCCACCCTCCACCGTGACTCTGGGCTCTAGCCCCGGGTTCTTACCGCCTGTGGCCGAGGAGGCCGGCTTGTATAATGGCACTCAGCGGGGAGGTGAAGGTCCTCAGAAGTCCCCTCCTCCTCACTTTCCTCGCTGGAGGCCTGAGCCCCACCCCGGGGCAGGGGGAAGGGAAACAGGCCTGGGTCCCCATCACCACCACCACAGGGGCCTTCATCATCCACCTCACTCTCAGAGGAGGCCTGGGACCTGGAAGGGCCAAAGGGGTTGTGAGGGTGATGTGACCAGGGTTGGGGTTAGGGACAGGTCAAGGTTAGTGTTGGGGTCGGGGATCAGGAAGTGGTGGGGGTGGGTGGGTTTTCAGTGAGGGGGTTTCCCTGAATCCACTTAGCTCAAAGTGCCAGGGCAGACACCCTGCTGGGCAATCACAGGGAGAGGAAAAAGGCAAGGGAGGAAATGACAGGGCTCACAGAGTTAGAGACAAGAGAGATCTGGGGGCCACAGCTCCCCAGGGGTTCTTGCCCCACCCCTTCAATTCCCAGGCCCTGCCTCCTCAGGGAGTGGTGTGGGGAATCTGCTCCATGATTGGCCTCCTTCCAGAAAATCTTCCGAGCTTAACTGCACCCAGCTCTGGTCAGCCCCGTCAACTCTCTCAACCCCCTTCTGGCATCACATATTCCTGGGAGCCTGTCTGTGAGCTGAGCCTGCGTTTCGTGTCTGCCCCTGGTGTTACAGGCAGAGATGCGTGTGTGTCTCCTTCAGCCAGGCAGGCTCTCCCCGGGGTCCAGCGTAGCCTCTGTACACGAAGGGGCCAGTGAATGAATACACAGTAGGACTGCTTTACCCAGGACCCTGACCCTTTCGGCTCCCCAGGTAGCTGGGAACACGTTCACATCCCAGGTGTTGGATCTGGCACGCTAAGGAGAGCCTTGGGGAGGGCAGGGGAGGGAGAGGGAAGGCTGTGGGAGGGTAAGCCCCTGCTTCCACACCTCTGCTGGGGGTCCCCAGGCATCCTCCCAAGCTCAGGGCCAAGGGAGCACACTTTCCTGGGCTTATCTTTGGGGGTCCCTACTGGCTACTGGGTTAGGGGCTGAGTATTCCCCCAGGTGAGGTAGGGGGCTAGGCCCTGGACTTACCGGGGCAGTGCACAGTACGGGTAGGTCTGCTTGGCGCAAGCAGAGAAGTTGCTGCTGGGGGCAGCCGCCACCATCGCCACTGCTACCCCCACCTGCACTGGGGCCGGGGGCTCCTGGGCAGGGCGCTCGACAGCTGGCTCCTTGCGCCCGGGGCTCTTCTCCTTGGGAGACTCCCCTCTACGGGAGCTGGCCTTCAGTTCTGCCACAAGCACATCGAAGTCCTTGGCCCGGCCCTGGACCTCCCGACGCTGGTGTACTGAGTGGATCTAGAATACAGTAGGGCGGAGGAATGGGGAGGGGGTGTGAGCTGAGCAGGGGTAAGGGACAGTGGTGTTCTCTGGCCTGGGCAAGCGAAGAGAGAGGGGAGGTGAGTGTTTGGAGGTTTCTGTTTCACTCCCTTGTGTGGACAAAACCCTCCTTTGGGATGCAGGGTGCAGTAGCCATTGCCTGTCCACTGTCCCCACCATGTCCTCTCCCTCATATAGGTGTGCCCTCCTTGCCCCTTGAGCTGTGATTCAGACCACACCTCAACTCTCCCTGCTGGAGCAGTGGGGATGACACTTACCTTGCAGGTCAGCAGGCGGGTACAGATCTTTTTGGTCTCTGGATTTATCACCCCACACTGCCTGTTGAGGTCACACTCCTTCCCTGTGGGGACAGCAGCTCTGGTGACCCCCAAGGCCGCCTCCAGCAGCCTCCTGAGAGGTTGTGGCCCCTTCCTGCTCAAGGCTAAGGCAGGAGGGCCTCCAACACACAGGTGCATGGGGTCCCCTTCGGGGACAGCTCTTTAGGGTCTCAACACTTCTCTGTTGGACTCAGGAAGCAATGCTGCCTTCTCCCCTTCCTTCACCTCCTGGCCCCAGACCAAGAACTACTTTGGGCTTCAAGCCCAAAACAGGGCAACACATATCAAGAACCCTAAGCAGAAAAAAAGGCATCTGGGATGCCAGAGAGACCAGTTGCGAGGGGTCTGGTGTCTTGGGATTCAATTGAGACATGACACAAAGGTAAGTCACCTTGAACTTCACCTGTTAGAACTAAATCAGCAGCCCAGGGCTACAGAAACGCTTCTGAGGAAGCAAACAGTTCAATATGCGACAGGAACACCTGAACACTGCCAGCTGGGATGAGCAGGCCCACTCCTTCCTGGCCTTCTTCCCCGTCTCTCCCAAAGGAGGAGTAGCCCTGAGAAGTCCTTCCTCTCCCTTCCCTTCCCAATCTGCAGCCCCAGAACCACTCACGCGCCATCTTCCGGTGGGTTTTGGGTGGCAGCCGCGCCCCGCCAGACTCCTCAGGGGGGCTGCCTTCAGCCCGATGTCCAGAGCCCTCACTGGGAACTATCTCGATGCCGTCTCTTCCAGGAGGTTCTTTGGAGGGGGTTGCTGTCGGGGGCTTCCCTGGGGAGTCCTTGGTGAGGCCGCCTGCCTGGCTGAGGAAAGCAGAGGGCGGGGCCGCCCTGATTCCATGTCCATCAGGCTTCGGGAGACTGGACATCTTCTCCAGATTCACCACAGGCACGAAAAGGCTACACATGGAGAGAGGGTGTGGGCTGCGGGGTGGGGGGGCGGGCCCAGGCCCTGGGACTTGGGGGGAGGTGCGGGTGGGGAGTAGCGGTTGGTCAGAACATGGACAGAGGACACCCCTATTCCCTGGAATACATGGAAAGGAGATGCAGGTAGGACTGGCTGCCCTCTGCCGGGAGCAGCACCCCCTGACCCTGGGCTGCCTCTACTTGAGTCACCCCCTCCCTGGGGAAAAGTCAGGGTTGATCTTGGGCAGCCTGTGGCCTCTTCCTTACCAGAGGCTGTCCTTCTGGGACTTCTCAGGAGGCTGGTGGCCGCGGCTCCGGGACCCCTGGCCCTTCTCCCTGGAGGAGGTTTTGGAGGAACCTGGGGCCCTGCCAGCCGGGCCCTGTCCATTCACTACATGGCATTTCTGAGAGCTGGCGGGGGCTGGAGGTGGGGGTGGGGCCCGGGCATAGAGCTTGCTGAGGGACCCATGTCTTCTTTCTGTCACCAGGAGGCAGAGAGTCACAGAGGTGAGTGCCACCAATGCCCTCCAGCCCAGCCTCGTAACCCGGCCCACAGACTCAAGTTTGAGAAGTGGAGTTTCCACAGCGAACACTCTCCCAACTCCCGGCCTCCCTTTCCAATCTGAGCCTTCCCAGACTTTGCATTCTACACCCAGCTGCCTGGCACTTAGCTCCTCCCCTGACTCCACAGGATGCTGGAAGGCTGCTCAAAAAACAGCTCTGAGACTCCGAGTCAAGTGCTCAGGCCACCCCAGGCCCTTCCCACCCCTAGTGTCACCCTCCCTTGCCTCACACACCCTCCCCACTGACCCTGTCACCCAGAGCTCTGTGTTCCACTTTCCCTGTCCCCCTCCTCTCTCTCTCTTCCCTCCCCAGGGCTCCCCTCACCGCAGTGCTTCTGGAAAGCTTGAGGCTTCACCACCTGGCTGCAGTGGTTGCACACGACCAAATAGAAGTCATCATGGGCAGGGCAGTGCCCGAAGATGGACATGTCTGCAATGACAGAAGCCCTTATCACCTGCGGCTGGGGCCCGTGGGAACAGGCACGTGCCACTTGGAAGGTGCATTACCTCCCAGCTTTGCTGCTGGATGCTCCCAGCTGCCAGAATTTAAGCTAACCCATTCCAAAGGATCTGGGTTTTCTGGTGAGTAGGCACCAATCCCCTAGGATCCAGACCTCCAACCTTGGGCAGAGCAGGGGTAGGGGGGCGCGGGTTCCAGGAGCCAGGGCAAGAAGCTGACCCAGAGCCATCAGAAGGGGGCTCTGCTACTTCCAGCAGGCCACCTCCTCCTGGGGCGTTTTGTGTGTCCGGGTCCCAGTCTTGGGGTGTGGTGGTGCCCACCTTCTTTAATGAGGGTCATGGCATCCAGCTTCTTAGCGCTTTTGCTGCTTTCCTCCAGCTCAGCTCCTGGAAGACAAATGCAGCTGAGAGGGCCACCCCTCCACCCCAAGCAGGGCCAAGGCAGCATGGAATGCACACTCCACTCGTGAGCATTCGGATGGCCTATCGGGAGGGGATGTGGGGGGAGGGGAGGGAGAGTCCTGCTCTTTGCCCATCCTTCTGTTTCCAGCTGCCTATGGCAGGAAGAATGCAACCACCTTTCTAAGGGCCCCATTCACTGCAAGGTGCAAGACAGGGTTTCCCTGTGGCCCAAACTGGGTGACAGTGGGTAAGGGTCACCTCCTTTCTGGACGTTCTTTTCCACTTAAAGGAAAATGTCCTTGAATCTTTTTCTAGAGAACCTCAAATTGCTTCCGAGATTTCCCAGATGGGTCCTTTCTGGCATCCCAAAAATCCTCTGCCAGATCCATACCTCCATGAACCCCATTTCTACTCTACCTGAGTTACCACAGCATTGCCCAAGTTCTCCCTGGCTTCCCGGGTCCTATGCTGATGGGATAGTCAGAGAGCAGGGAAGGGTCTTGGGGCCCTTTGGCAGCGCCAACAAGCCGCTCCCCTCCTTTTGGGGGATTCCCTCACCATCAGGGCTTGCTCGGTGTGTCAGTTTCTGGGTTAATGACAAAAACATCTTAGCTGTGCAGAGCAGCTCTTCTTATCCCATCCCCCTACCTCTTTCCTCTTCTCTTCCCTCCCTCACCTACATCCCCTCCCGGGCCCTTGAAAAATTAAATAAATAAATTCTGAGTCACCAAACACGTCTGACTCTGCTTCCGGTTCTCAGTGCACCCAGACCCTGCCAAAGGCCCCAGCCTAGCCCACCCTTCCTGGGGCAGTGCTAGGGTGGCCCAGCTTGCCACTGAGCTCTGCTGTCTGGTGTCCACCAGCATCCTGGTCCCTTTCTAGGACGAGAAGGTGGCTGACTGTCTTACATAAGATGCTGCTCTGAGGGCTGGTGGGTTAGGCACGTGAGAGATGAGAGGCAGCTCCCACTCTCTTAAGTCCATTGAATGCAAGTGTAGGCAGTGAGTGACAGAATCGAGCTGGGAGTCAGATGTCTCAGAGGAGTACAAGTGTCACTGGAGACCAGCTCCAGGAGGTCTCTTCCCCCACCTCTTCTCACTTGCAAACTTCTTTGGGGGCACAGTGCCTGTTGTCACCCCCACCCCCACAGGCCACGAGGCCAAGTGCTCCCTGGAACCTAAGAGACAAAGATCAGGAGAAGGGGCTGTGGGCCTGCTCACCAAAGGCACCCACTGGCTTACAGAAGGTGCAGGGGTCAGGGGAGAGAACCAACAGGCAGGGTGAGGGTCTGGGAAAGGACAGAGGGGTGGCAGCATGGACAGATGGACTGAGAGAGGGAGGGACAGGGGCAGGACGGAGAAATGGATGGATGGACGGACCAACTAGAGCGGAGGGGCGGGGGGGTGGGGGGTTTGTCTAGGAGCACTGCAGCGGGGAAGCCAATGCCGAAAAGGGACTGGAGGTGTGGGGCAAAAGGCAAAGGAACACGAGGTCTGGGGTGGGGGACAGACAAGCGGGGTGCGTGGGAAACACGTGGAGAGGACTGCTGCGGATGGGGAACGTCGGAGCAGGTGCAGGAGGGGCGGAAGATGGAAGCCAGCTGGCAAGAAGAAAGGTAAAGGCAAGCAGACGTGGGGGCAGGTGCTGGGCACCGGCAGGCAGCGGTGGGCAGGGTGGGCTCGCAGCGAGGGGCCGGCACTAGGACCCAGAGGAGCGAGGCCGCTGCAGCGGGCGGGCACTAGGACCCGGCGGGTCCTTTGTTTGGGGGGCCGGGGAGCCGGACGGCGGCTCCAGTCGGCGGCTCCCCTCAGCCGGCGGGGGCCCCGGGAGGGGGAGGGGAGGCGGCGAGGGGGTCCCCGACTCCGGGGTGGCTTCACTCACCGTCGCCCGCGGGCAGCTCGGCCCGCTCCACCCACGAGCTCCAGCTCTGTCCCGCGAAGTCATCGAGACTCGGCACCCGCCGCTCCAGAGCGGCCATTGCTGCCGCCGCGCGTTCACGCACCGCCATCACCGCCGCGGACGCGCGCTCGCCCCGGCCCGCCGCGGGCACGCCTCCCCTCGCCTCCCCCCAACTACCTTTCCAGCTCGCTGTACGCAAGCGCAACACAGGTTGGCTATCCCGCCCGCTCCCTCCCGCACAGCCTTCTGGGAAGTGTAGTCTTGAAGGCGCCACCACCGCCTGCTGCCCTAGCGATCCTGCAGCGAGAGACCTTCCGACATGAACGCGTGAAGGGAGGAAAAAGATGACCCGAGCCCACCACGATCTCTCCTCCGCCCTGGGCGCACTTCCTTTGTGTCACCGGTCCGCCACTGTCTCGAGCTCACTGCACACAGGCACACCCCAGCCCCACACCTCTCTGCCCAAGACGTCCCTTTAAAGCCATGCGTCCTCTCTCCCTCCAAAGCCGGCTGGCTCCCCCTTTCCTGGGGGGCTGGTGGCCACCAAGTGACTGCTCCCCGGTAGATGGAATAGGGTAGGTGCAGGGAGGTGGGCGAAGGGCAAGGGGAGGGAGTCCGTAGGAGGTGCTGAAGGACGTGAGGGGGTGGCGTGGGGGAGGGTCTCCGCTCCTGTCGAGCCTGCTCCGTGGGAACCCCGCGCCGCCTGCTGCGGAGCGGAGGGTCGGAGCGGTGTTGCTTGGGCTCGGGAGGACCTGGCTGAGTGACCAGGATCACCTGTCAGGATGACAGAAGGCTCTCCCTGAGCCAGCGCCAGCCCTACAGCACAGGGCTGGCCCCGAGGCTGCTGGCCTTTGCAGCAGCTCCGCCTGTGATCGATAACCCGGACGCCTCTTCCCAAACCCCGGCTGCACTCTGACTCCATCCATCACCGGAGCTTCTTTTCCTACGGATCTGCTGGAAAGGCTTCCCAAAGCCTTGGAGAGAGGGCGATTTCTCTCCAGGTGGGGTCATTCTTCCTGGCTGAGGCCTGGAGAAGCTACCTTAATTATCCAGCTCTTTTCTTCTGCTCAGCTGATGACATTTCTTCCCACCTTCACACAAGAGAGGCAAGGCTGCTTTCTCTCTCCCCACCCAGTATGCCACCCCCAATAACACCAGAAAACTAATATGAATGCTTCCCTCTTCCCCAAGCCCTGCCATCTCACTCTTAGATCCATCCCTTCCCCTAAGGAAAAAACCAAGTTTGGGACCAAAGAAATTCCCATCTTTGACTTGGAGACCTCAGATTTTTTTTTCCTTCTTTGCTGCAGGGAATCTGTAAAGACTTTCAGCATCATCTCTGAAGGGAGAGCTTCCCAGCCTGAGAAGCTCCCTAGGGTTCCAGGAAGCTGGGGACCATGCTGGTGGTGTGCATCTTTCTCAGGGGTGTCTCTGCAGAGTGTGGCTGTCTGCATGAAGGGAGACAGCGGTTGCAGGTTTGTTCGGCAAGAACCTTCTAGTTAAAAGAGCGGAGCATATGGCCCTGCACCCCTGACAGGAAGCTTGTTTGGGTCACAGATGGTAGGAGAGCAAATGGAAACAGCAATGTGGAAGCCACTATGTCTCGCCTTTTGAGTGTGCTCCAGATTTGCTAATGAGTCCCAGTTACTTGGGACTAATTGGGTGCCACCAAAGGAGGAGATGTCACCAGATGGGGTGGGGGGAAGGTTTAGGAACAAATGCTCAGCCAGCAGACTCTGTGGCTTGGAGTGTAGAGTGCAGAGGAATGGCAGGGTGTCTCGGTGGAAATGCTGATATTTGTCCAAGCGCATGAAGTGAGGGAGAGGAAGAGACAATAAAAGCCCCAGAAGGTCTGCCGGCCTGGCTCCTTGGTAGCAAATGTTCTTGCAGGCACTGTTTATTCAAATGTGTAATAACAAGCACCAGAAAACAACATGCAACATCCGCCCCCCACCCCCCCATCTGCAAACATCCCCCAAGGGGGAGACCTGTGATCGTTATGTTGGGGGGCACTTGCACCCAGGAGAGGTCCTACCTAGGTGAGGCCCCCTAGCCAGGTCAGGGTTCACTAGGGCAAATGGCAAGTGCATTGCCCAGCCTCCCACAGCAGCTGGAGAAACCAGACACCATCTCTTCCCTAGGGCCCTGCTAAGCAAAGTGGCAATGCCAGCCCTGGTTGGAGGGGACATAAGTCCTATGAGGACAGCTCTGCCCTAAGCACATGGCCCAGCCTAGCTCTCTGGAAGGCATGAGATGAAGTGGCCTTTCCTCCTGGGTGGCCGTGGAGGGTGAGACCACCGCACTGCCTAAATGGATTCTCTTCCGGCTGAGAACACGCTGGCCTCTTCATCAGAAACAGAAGCTTTCATTGCTCCACTGAGAAATCTGGGCTAATTTTGGGGAAGGTGGGGATCCTTAGCAGGAGTGAACCCTCTCCCCTGTTTGCCTAGCTGGAAGGGGCCAGTTGCTACTCTTGCCCCCCTCCCAAAATGAGATTACTTTATCCATCATATTTCAAATAAATTACAAATACAGACACAGAATCCAAACAAAGTTCCATGAGAAGCTGCTCACAGACCCCCACAGGGGCTGGCTTAAAGGAGAGTGAAGGTCACCCCTTTGTTCTCTGAGCTGTGGGCAGAACTGTCCCCCCTTGTCCTTGAGTAACCATGGGGACAGCTCAGGACAGAGAGAGAGAGGGTGAGCTTCAGACAGAATATTCCTGCCTCATCACCCTTCTCCTTTCCTCAGCTCCTTTCCTCCCACAATCTAAAACACAAAACAAAACCTCTAATTTTTTCAATAAGGGACTCTGGAGCATTTGAGGATGTAAATCTCACACTCACCCCCCCACACACACCCTTCCAACCCCAACACAAACAATGACCAAAGAGGAAATGATTGGCTAGACCCCAGGGTGTCCCTGTGATTGTGGATGGCACCTAGGGAGGTCAGGAAGCTGAAGGGGGCTGCCTCAAGAGAGATTGGTTCAGGGCACATGTACCTTTAAGATAATAGGTGAGTCAATTGGCATTGGGTTGGAAAATAGCTGGATTGTTCTCTCTTCATCCTTCCCTGGGTAGCCCAATAGCCGGGTCAGGCTGAGCCTTTTGAGCTGGGTAAGAAGGCTGGTGTCCATCACCTGGCCAGTCCTGACTCTCAGGGTCCAGTGAGGAGAGATTGAAAGTGGGGTCAGGCAAAGGAGATACACTGAAGACGAATATGGAACTGGGTCCCGAAGTGAAGAAGCACCAATAGCATCGGCCTGCCCTGGACTTGGGGAGGGGACAGAGCTGGGAGAAAGAAGGAAGAGGACGGAGCATGAGGGCAAGGGGACCACCTAGGACATCTCCTTGGGTAAAGAAAAGAGGAACTGGAAGGAGCCAGGATATAAGAACAAGCAGAGAGGAAGAAGACAGGAGCCCATCCCTCCATGTCCTGGGGCTCTGGGGCCACTCAGGCTCCTGGTGGTCCTTTTAGGACCTCCCCAAGCTCCTCTGTGGCCCTGCAGGAATGAAAGGAAGGCTCGGACAGACTTCAGGCAGGATCTGCAATGCCTCAGATCCAAGAGGCTGGGGAAGGGACACGGACGGGAAGATGGAGGTAGTGGGGATGGGAGTGTAAGAACGGGCTGAAATGAAGATTCTCCTAGAGCCAGCACCCCAGTGTGAGGAAGAGAGTGACCACGATAACTGGAAGCAGGAGAGGGAGTTTCTAGAGTGAGTAGAGATTAGAGTTGGTGGGTAGTGCCCCAGCCTGGCAGGAGTGAGTGTTTGTTTTGTAGAGGGGATATTAGAAGAAACTGATTCTGCCAGTAATTTCCCTGGCTTCAGTTTCGTGGACATTGCAACTCAGTTGCAGGTTCCCTGCTCCCAAGTGAGTGCAGACCTCAAAGGGCTGGTTGCTAAGCTAGTCAGCCTCCCTGGTCCACGTGGGGTGTGCTTTGCAGAGGGGCAGAGGGCAAAGAACACAACAGAAGCTCGCTGAGCCCCATGCTGACTGGGGAGTGAGCACAGAGGTTGGATGGATGCCTGTGAGGTGGCCACCCAACACTATGGAACCCTCCACACAGGGCACCAGGGGCAGGGCTGCCAGCTGAGAACCTCACCCCCCCAAATGGGTAGAAATGAGCTACTAGAGCCGGTCTGGGGCTCTGGTATCCTGCCCCACTCTTCATCTGTGACAGAAGCTTGTAGACTGAGGCTATGAGGGCCAAGGAAAGATATCTGGTGGTATGTAAGAAGTCCCGAGCTCCTGCCATCTGGGACTCCAGCAAGAGGAGGGATGGGAAGTCACTGGGAAGGTTGCCTGGGTTTCCATCAGCTGATGCCTTGCCCATCCCAGATGGACAGGGGGAGGGGAAATGGAGGAAGAGGAAGGTCCTGGAAGCCGGAGGTGGTTGAAGAGGTGCTGTCCAGTTCGGGAGTAGCCTGGTGGGGCTGCTTACTGCTTCTCCACGGCTCCCTGCTCAGCTGCGCTCTCCTGGCTGGGCCCCTGACCCTGGTCCTGGCCCTGCCCGTGCCACGGGGTCTCCTTGAACACAAACCAACAGTTTCCAGCCCACAGGAAGAAGTTGATGAAGCCGAAGAGCTGCAAAGACATCAGGAGAGTTTGTGAGTTGGGGAAGGAAGGCGCCAAGGAGATAGGGGAAGAAAGGGAACACAGGGAGCTGGTTACACAGGCAGGGGTCAAAGCCATCACCCATTGAGGGGGCATCAGTCTGTTGAGGAGCATGCCCTGGGATAACCATCACACAGCAGGCACAGCCAGGAGCCAAGAGGCTCCCAGGGGAAGGGACATCAGAGTTTCCTATCCCACCAGGGCCCTATTGGGAGCACCTTCAGAAGTGGGTGTGTCTGGCGCTGTCCAAGGTGCCCCTTTCTTAGGAGCCAGGACCCCAGCCAGGGGAGAATTTACATCCTTATTCAAAAAGTATTAAAAACAAGGGACAGCAGGAAGTGCTGGGGGAAGTATATGAAGAATAAGATGGATGGAGAAATATATGATAAAACAAGGTTTGTAAAATGTTAATGGTATACAGTCTAGGTGGTGAGTATGTGGATATCCAGCATGAAATTCTTTCACATTTTCTGTCATTGTAACACTTTTCATTACAAAATGTTGGTGGGAGGGAGAAGTGACCTATTCTCGAGGCTCCAGGAAGTTCCAAAAGGCTCCCCAATACACCAACCACCAAGTGTTTCAGTTGGAAAGGTCTAAAGCATTTGCAGGTGGCTGAGATGACAGGGTGCAACTGAGAAGCTTCAAGCCTCAGCTATTTCCCAGTTGATGGGGATACAACATTCTAGCAACTGGGGTCGTCAAGTATGTGCATTCCCGCTGGACTCATCACTTCCCCAAAGCCCCTTTCTAGTGAGGAGAGCTCAGTGACAATGAGCCCCTTCTCACGCTGTGTCTACTCCCAGCTGTAGCCCAGCCCCAGCTCTAAATACACACACACACACACACACACACACACACACACACATCAATGGATAGAAGGAGCATTAAGCAGTTACAGAGTACATGGAGGGAGTTGGGGGTGAGAATAGGGCAGAGTGCAGAAAGAGGGACACGTAGGAGGTCAAGTGACTCTTCAACTCCCTCCATCCCCAAAAGTGTTCTCCAGATTAGCCAGGGACCAATTGCCAGCATCAGGCACAGGGCACAGAGGAGCGGTATGCCTCTCAGAACCTGCTAGCTAGGACAGTACCTCCCTGCCACCCCATCGCTGGCTGCAGCGTCTCACCACAGAGATGTTGGCCAGTCCCATGGAGGGTGTGGCCCCGGCACTGCACACTGCTTCCTCGCCATGGCACACAGACATGGCTGCTGTCAGGCTGGATGGCCGTGTGGCCCCCTTGACGTCGGTCAGGCCTTTGCCCCAGGCCGCTGCAGCTACCAGCCAGAAGAAGGTGAAGGAGACAGTCACACAGAAGTCCTGGAAGTGAGGGAGATGAGGAAGAACATGGGACATGCACTCAGCACTCAGCTCCCACCTCCTTCTCTCTTGATGTCATACATAATAAGCCTGAGGTCCGAGGCAGCTCCCTCTTAACCTCTTCTCCAACATTGAGAGCACCAGGGAACCCAGACTGTCGTGGAGAATCTGGTCAGTGCCACCAAAGAAGGCTTCCCATGCAGGCACCTCTGTCCTCTGAACTAAAGTCAGACAACAAGGTATTGAGACAAGACGTAGCTACCACTCAGCCACACCACCAAACCCAGGTGGCTGCAACTCCCCACTCATCCCTCTCAGTGGCAGAGGGCAGGAAACAACGTGTGCCCCTCTGACCCACCTTCCACCTTGTGTGAATGAATGGATAGTAGAGGGGAGTGATAACAAAAGCCAATGCCTGCTGGGGTTAGCTACATATTAGACATCTTCCATGGATCTTATTGTATCTACATTTTAGATTTAAGAGGATTGAGGTTGAGAAAGGCTAAGTCACTTACCCAGGTCATACAGCTACAGCTAGTGAGGGACAGTGGTGGCATTTGAATGCAGGCGTCTCTGCCGCCAGAGGGCTTCTGGTGAGCAGGAGCCCATGACGGGAGATGGATGATGGAGGCGCCACATTCGTGGACTCAGCAAGTCCACCGTGTGGATTCCAACTCCTGTTCCCCAATAACCCCTTGGTGGCTCCACCCCATTCCTGGCCCGGCTTACTCACCACCAGCGGGAAGCGCTTGTTCTCTGTGTAGAGCTTGTGGAAGCGCAGGTAGAGAACGAGGGCAGCCATGGTATAGAAGAAGGAAAAGATGCCGAGGGTCACAAAGAACTCAGCGGGGGCGGAGAAGTCCCCCATGAGGTGCATGGTTTTGGAGGAGGAGTCTTCGTCACAGAGTGGCATCTCATACTCAATCCGGTTCAATCTGCGGGAAGCAGCAAGGTGGTCCTGAACTCGGGCAGCCCTCCCTGCACCTGTCCCAGGAGCCCTCCTGGGCTAGTCTTCCTGTTGAGCTCTCACATGTCCAGAAAAGGGGTAGCGTAGGGATGAGCATGTCTGGATGGAATCTCATGGTGGAGACGTGAACTTCCCTCAACATTCCTGCCAAACCCCACATCCACCTCACCCTAGCTGTTACTATACACTTATTCCTTTGCTCCCTGTCTCTTCAAGGACCCCAGGGGCACTGCAGATCACAGGCACAAAATATGAAGTCGATCTGTTTCTGGAACCCAAATCACAGGTCAGCTTCATTCTGTCCCCTGGAAAAGCAGGGCCACAGGATCCAAAACAAGGCTGCCACCACCTATGCCAGGTCTTACTGGACCATATGCAGAGAGAAACACAAACTGTTATATACAAGGGTCAGAGAGTATAATCTGGCTTCTGATACTGGAAGATTCTGAGCCCAATTCTATTCTCCTGTTAACACTTGAGCTCCCCCCACCTCCCTAAACTTCCAGATGCCCAGGAAAGAGCTTTCTCTTCTACCTCCTAGTTAAGATGCACCTCTGTACATTCTGGTGGGACCAGGTCAACATCCTACACCTGTTATGAAGCATCTAAGCACCTAGAGGCTTTCTTATCGTAAGGTAGACAGAAGACTGCTAGGGTTTAGAATACCCATGCAGCCCTGCCTGTCCAGTCTCCACCCAACCAGCTGGATTCCTTCTGTTTGAGCTCTTGTGTCATGCTATTGCTTGTCTAGGGAGTGGAACGTTATTATAACAAAAAATCTGTCTGTTCCCACCATGCTCTTATCTGATCCATGTGTCTAAAATTGCTACAAAAAGTCCTGGCCTTACAATAATGCTATTTGAATCTGGTGTAATACTCAACAAATGATCTTTTGGTTTCTGGAAGAGGAGCAGGAGCCCCTGAAATTCAGGGCCAGAGAGGCTGTGCTGGGTTAGAACCGTCCCTGCTCACCTGAAGGGATAGCCGAATAAAACGATGATAGAGCTCACATCCTTGGCTTCATTGTTGCAGCGAACCATTGCCCCCGTCTCGCCGCTGTAGGAACCGCAGGACCCAAAGGCGAAAATAGCAAAGAGCTGAGAGAGAGTGAAGCCCCTTTGAGATTCAGAAGGCTTCAGCTGGCCAAGATGAGAAACCACCCCTTGATTCCCAGCAGGTGCAAGCATGGAGGTTGGCAGGGATGAGGGGAAGTGTCAGGGTGTCTTTTTATCTTGTTCCTCCTGGACAGGGACCCCTTGACTTGCATTTGTCTTATGGTCTTAGAGAGATGTATTTCCTGCACAGGGTGCTAGACCAAACAGCCGAGTGAATTGGGTTGATTGACTTTGAGCACTGAGAAAAAGATGAAAAGAAAGGAGAGGCAGTTTCCAATTCTCCCCACTAGGCATAACACTGGGGGCCCTCAGAAGTCTCTTTCAGTACATAAAACCTCTGCTATACAGACTTGGAAGCTCCTAGCTCCCAGTTAGACTTGAAGTTCCTCCTCAAAAAAGAGGAACCTTCAGAAAGAGATTTGTCCATCAACCATGGCTGACATGCTTTTCATTTCTCCACTGAACCAGTCACTGATGCTAACTCCCAGCGAGTCTCCTGCCTCCAGAGAGAAACAGTATAGCTGGTGGCAGGGGGCAGTCTTGGGGAACTTGGGGATAACATCCACTAAGTGTTCAGAGAGGCCATGTTGCCACCCCATGGCCCTGATAAGCTTAATTCCTCTTCTGAAAGCACATTGCCTCCCAGCAGCAGCGCTGGATGGGTCAGTGCTGACAGTTCTGGCTCCAGCCTAGAGGAAAGTACCTTCCACTACTTGCCTTATCAGCCTTCTCTCTCACCCCCACTGGCATTTCCCTTTGTAATCTGTTAGTGCTGTCATTCCCAGTGTTGAAACCCAGAGGTGTTTCAGATCCCTTGAACTGTTTGCTTCTCTACTTTTCATCACGTTTCACTGCACCTGCTGTCTTGAGTGAAATAAAACGCCTTCATCCTGTGATTCTGAAAATTTCTTCCTGGAACACACAGTTTGGTTTCAAAAGGAGGTGAGAAACTGGCACCGCTCATCTTCCACATTGTCTGCTCAGCCCTGGGTTCCCTCGGCTTGCATGGGATGTAACCGTTCTTATTAGGCAATGAGCTTATTCTTTGTTCATTGTGTGTGTGTGCGCGTGCGTGTGTGCGTGCGTGTGCGCGCGCACGCATGTGCATGCACATACACGTGCGCACACACTTCTCTCTGTGACTGGGTGTGCTTCTTTCTCTGACATTTATCCCCTAGAGGACAACTGGTCTACGCACCATCCCTGCAACCCAGAGTCTAGAATAGACTTGTGTGCATGTTATATTGTTAATGCTTGATAGTGCTCTGGTTTGAAGAGCAACCTGAATGAGAAGTATGAAAAATCTGGGTACCAGTTCTTCCCTAATCACTAATTGGCTGGATAACGCCTCTAGTCTCCATATCCTCATCAGTAACACAAGGGATTGGGAGTTTGTCATCCTGCGGCCTTTCTCAGCTTCGTAATGCTCTCACTCTCAGGGTAATATTGTCAGCAAGCTCTTGGCTGGGCTTTCCAACAGCTGTGCCCTGCCCCAGGGGTGTCCAGTGCCACTGCCCCGCCTTGCATTGCCTGGCCTGGCAGATCTCAGTGCTAGAACCGCCAACCTCTTTCTAAAGGTCATAGTGGGCAGGTCCATTCCAAGTGGGAGGTCCATTCCACACATGAGACTTGTCTCCATTTTGAAGAACGCCCATATGTTCTCTTCCTCCCTCTCTCTCTCACCCCGCTTCTCTCCTTCTCCCCCCTGCTTTCTCTCTGATGCTTCAATAACCTGAGATGAATTAAATGTTGGAAGCTGCAGTAGAGAGAGCCCTGTCTGCTGGAGGACTTGACAGAGCTGGAAAGAAGTCACTGGAAACCTCTGCATTAGTATACTTCTTCAAAGGCACAAAAAGAAGGGACAGAGAGAAAGATGTGTCTGCTGGTTCACTTCCCAAGTGGCTGCAACAACCAGAACTAAGCCAGTCTGAAGCCTGAAGCCAAAAGCCAGAAGCTTCTTCTGGGTCTCCCATGCGCGTGCAGGGTCCAAGGCTTTAGACCATTCTGTGCTGTTTTCCCAAACCACAAGCAGGGAGCTGGCTAGGAAATGGAGCAGCCGGGACATGGATCCTGGCGCTGCAGGCGGATCCCTGGCCCCATCACTACTCTTTACAAACCTCACTGGCTTAACAAAAGGCCTTGTCTCACTCTTCCTCCCAGGAATTCTCTAGTTCTCCCTTGGCTGTCTGATTCCTCTTAGACATTTCTTTATTCCTCTTAGCTTCTGGTATCTAGGACTGGCCACAATTAGTATGCCCCATTCCAGGAGCAGCATCCAGGAGGATATATTTGCACCCACTGGCAGCTAGTGAATGGCTCATGGCAAGTGTCTCGAGAAAGCAGATCTGCTATTGCTGGCTTGGGGGCAGTGAATGGTCAGTTATTGAGCTGTCTCTTCCCTAACACCCTCCTTCAGGTGGCCCCAAGTATCCAGAGAGAGATGACTATTACTGAGCAGCAACTATCTATTGGGTACTTTTCTAGGCAAGACTAGTTAGTAGTGACAAAAAAAAAACCCAAAAAACTGGTGTTATGTCATAGTGTATTAAGCTGCTGCCTCAGTGCTGGCATCTCATACAGGTTCTGGTTCATATCCTGGCTGTTCCACTTTTGATCCAGCTCCCTACTGATGGCCTGGAAAGATCAGCAAATGATGACACAGAGGGTTAGGCCCCTGCACCCCGCATGGAGATCTGGAAGAAGTTCCTGATTGTGGCCTGGCCCAGCCCTGACTTTTGTGGCCATTTGGGAAGTAAACAAGCAGATGGAAGATCTTTCTGTTTCTCTGTCTCTCCTTCTCTCTCTGAAACTGTGCCTTTCAGAGAGCAAGAGAGAGAGAGATTGATTTTCTGCCTTCATTACATTCTTTATTATACTATTCAAAAGAGTAGTAGTCAAGCATTGGTGTTTGAAATGTTTTTAAAGATTTATTTATTTTTACCTTGAAGGCAGATTTTACAGAGAGGTCTTCCATTTACTGGTTCACTCCCTAAGTGGCTCCAATGGCTGGAGCTGAGCTGAGCTGATCTCAAACCAGGAGCCAGGAGTTCTCTCCAGTTTTCTCACATGGGTGATGGGGTCCAAGGACTTGAGCCATCCTCTGCTGCTTTCCCAGGTCATAATCAGCGAGCTGGATTAGAAGTGGAGCAGGGCCCAGTGCAGTGGCTGAACAGCTAAAAGTCTTTGCCTTGAACGTGCCGGGATTCCATAACAGCACCTGTTCTAGTCCCAGCAGCCCCACTTCCCATCTTGCTCCATGCTATGGCCTGGGAAAGCAGTCAAGGACAGCCTAAAACCTTGGGACACTGCACCCAGATGGGAGACCTGGAAGAGCTCCTGGCTACTGGCTTGGGATTGGCACAGCTTTGTCACTTGGGGATGTAAGATCTTCTTCTCTGTCTTTCCTCCTCTCTGTATATCTGACTTTCCAATAAAAATTAAAATAAATCTTTAATAATAATAATTTTTAAAAAGTGGAGCAACACCCAAATGGGACTTGAAGCAGCACCCAAATGGGATGTCAATGTGACAGGCAGAGGATTAGCTTGCAATGCCACCACACTAGCCCCACTGTTTATATTTAAATTAATTCAGATTAAATGAAACTAAGAATTCAGTTGTAGGCCAACACCAGCCACACATCCAGTGTACACAGTACATGCCCCTAGCAGGGTCCCAAGGCCCTGGGAAGTGGAACAGCCAAGACACAAGCCAGTGCCCATGTGGAATCCTGGCGCTTGCAAGGTAAGGATTTAGCCGCTGAGCTATCCTACTGGGTCCTTCAAGTCTGAATCTTCAAAGATAAGACCCTCTAAAACCCTTGCATGATAATCCTTTACCAGGATGTCTGTTTAAACACCAGCAGCTTCCATGGAGCCAGGTGACAGTTTGCTCTAGACATGGACAATGGGACGAGTGAGGAGACTCACACAGCTTCCGAGAACAGCAGAGTGAGGATCCCAGCGCTGACCAAGTTTCATTGCACTGAGTTGGAAAGTGGAGTCCCAAAAGATTAAGTGACTTTCCAAAGTCACATTTAGCTAATGTGAGAGCCAGGCTCAGAATTCACATCTTCTGATTCCCTATCCAATGTGCTTTCCACTTTATTCATTCATTAACTCAACACTTACCAAGCTTCTGTTTTATGGCCTGGTGTTATACACTGGAGGATAAAGGACTTAACCTGGGCCCGGCGCGATAGTGTAGTGATTAAAATCCTCACCTTGAATGCGCCAGAATCCCATATAGGCGCTGGTTCTGATACCGGTGGCCCCCCTTCCCATACAGTTCCCTGTTTGCGGCCTGGGAAAGTAATTGAGGATGGCCCAAAGCTTTGGGATCCTGCACCTGTGTGAGAGACCTGGAAAAAGCTCCTGGCTCCTGGCTTCGGATTGGCTCAGCTCCAGTCGTTGCGGCCACTTGGGGAGTGAAACATCGGACAGAAGATCTTCCTCTCTGTCTTTCCTCCTCTCTGTATATCTTTCCAATAAAAATAAATAAATCTTAAAAAAAAAAAAAAAAAAAAAAGGACTTACCCGGCTGTGGGGCCAGTGCCTTGACTCAACAGGCTAATCCTTCACCTTCAAGTGCCGCATCTCATATGGATGCTGGTTCATGTCCCAGCTACTCTATTTCCAATCCAGTTCCCTGCTTATGACCTGGGAAAGCAGCAGAGGATGACCCAAAGCCTTGGGACCCTGCACACATGTGGGAGATTTGGAAGAAGCTCCTGGCTCCTGGCTTCAAACTGGCTCAGCCCCAGCTGTTGCAGCCACTTGGGATAGATCTTTCTTTGTCTCACCTTCTCTTTGTAGATCTACCTTTCCAATAAAAATGAATACATCTTAAAACAAAAAAGAACGAGGAGGACTTGGCTCTTGCTCTCAGGAATTTACACCAAGACAGGGGCTAACATTGTGGTATAGTAAGTTAAGCTGCCACATGGGACACTGACATCAAATTTGTGTGCCAGTTTGTGTCTTTGGTGCACCACTTTTGATTCAACTCCCCGATAACACTCCTTGGACAGCAGTGGAAGATAACCCAAGTCCTGGGGTCCCTGCACCCATGTGGGAGACCCAGATGAAGCTCCTTTCTCTTGGCCCTGCCAAGCTCCTTTCTCTTGGCCATTAAAAGCATTTGTCAATTGAACCAGTGGTTGGAAGATCTCCCTCTGTGTGCGTGTGTGAAACTCTTTCAGATAAATAAATAAATCTGTAAAAAAAAAACAAAGACAGGGCCCAGCGCGATAGTGTAGTGGTTAAAGTCCTCGCCTTGGATGCGCCAAGATCCCATATGGGCACTGGTTCGTACCCCCTTCCATCAGACGGAAGATCTTCCTCTCTGTCTCTCCTCCTCTCTGTATATCCGCCTTTCCAATTAAAAAAAAAATGAAGACAAAGACATATCCCTGCATCATAGTTATGAAAGCTGAAGAAGTCATTGCGTAAGGAGGGAGGGGACTCATCTGGCCCTGGGATGCAAGGCAGAGAAGGACACCCTCTCGCTGCCCCCTCCAATTCCTCCTAACCCTTCACCTTTCTCTGCCAGATTTGCTTCTTTCACTGTGCCTTGTGCCTGAGCCATCCTCCTCACTAATCATTAGCCTCTGAGATTAAAAAAAAAAAAATCTTCCTTCACAGAGACCAGCAATGGCCAAGCACCAGTGGAGGTCTTGGAGAGGAAGGAGGGTTCTGGAATTCTGGGACGAACCAGCCTTCCTCTTCTTGAAGCTACTCTGCTGGGGATGGGGACGATCACGCTCAGTCCTCCTCCTGTTCTTCCTGCTTCTGCTTCTCTTCGGCAAAGATGACAGAATAACCTTCCCCGCTTAAGCAGGAGACTCCACTTTGGTGCTGACTTGCTTGCTGTGATAATCCTGTGTTATTACCAGTTTGTGCAGGGAACCTGGGAGGTAAATTCTCTGCCTGAATCCTCCTCCTCCAATTAGCTCTTTCCAAATCACCCAAAACACTTTTGCTGAAATAACAGATTTTCATGACAGATTTTGGATCAGATCCACGACTTTAGCACCCCATGGTGTGTTATTGATCAAAGGGTGCATCTGCTTAAAGGGAGGACAACTTAGCTGTAAGTGAATGGGAATGATAATGGAGCCACCTGGAGATTCTTTTGTACCTTGCCATTCAATTGAGGACCTTGGAATAATCTAGCTGACAAGTCTAGCTGTGTGGTCTTCAAAAAAGGGAAGGTTTTAAAGGGAGAGATTCAGCAATAAGCAGGGCTGGAACCAACACTTATGAATATGACCTGGAGTATCAGGCTTCCTGTGGTCTTGCTGCATGCTTTGGGATTTATAAATATTGCTTTCTGTCATCCTCCTAGAGCCCACAAAATAGGTCTTAGCCTCATTTACAGGTAAGAGAACTGAGACACATAAAGATTTGATCACCTACCCACAGTCACAGGGCTACGAATCAGAAGTGACTGAGTTTAAACCAAGTCCATCTGATCTCAAAGTTTGACATGTTGCTTTTATTTTTATTTTTTATTAACTCTCCAACAACTTGGCCATAACTCAAGTTATTTCATGAGTTTAGTGTGGACTTATTGAAGCTCCAAGTTATAACTGAGGTGAAATCAGTCTGATTTTGAAAACACTCTAGGAATGGGTGCTTTGGCAAAGTTGTTCAGACATAGCTTTGGAAGTCCACAACTCATAGCTGAGTGCTTGGTGCAAGTCCCTGTTGTTTCTGCCCCAGTGCCCAGCTCATGCACAGGAGATGAAGGAAGCAGGGGATGGTCCTGGGACTTGGGTCCCTGCCACCCACGTGGGAGTCCTGGCTCCTGACTTTGGCCTGGGCCAGTCCCGACTGTCATGAGAATTTGGGAAGTAAGCAATCAGATAGGAGTTTGTTTCTCTCTCTCTCTGTCTCTCTTTACTTCTCTCTTTCTGCGCCTTGCTTTCCAAATAAAAATACAAAAGTATTTTAAAAGTAGACGTTATAAACTCCTGTCGAAGAAAGATTACATTCTTCTCACAAGGATTTCAGTAGCATCTTTGATTCCTGGGGATAATAATAACACACTTTTTCATTTAATATTACAATAGCTGCATGACTGACTTATGAGTCCTTTCTCCCCTTCTTCTGGTGAGGAGCATTTGATCCCACTCAGCAGTGAAAAAATGCAGAAAACATTTCCACAGTCTTTTCTGGTGCTGCTTCCCGCAGGCTTTCATGTGAGCTTACCTTCAGAGATGCCAGGCAAGTGAAACTCATGTCCTGAATGCAGGCTACCCTGGGAGGAGGCAAAAGCAAACCCTAACTCCTCAAGATGCTACCCAGTGAATGGAGGCTGAGGTCAAGATCCACCCCCCAGACCCTGGGTGTAACATTGTGACCAAAGCAGTCCTTGTTTTGCATGTTTCTTTCAGAAGCTGAAGATCCTAAAAGCCAGGCAGGTTTTACTTCTTAGGGCATCTGACTGGGGGGAGACTTGGCATTGCTTGGCACAGCCTTTGCAGAAATGCTGCAGGGGGTTGGTAGTGGCTAGCAGGGTTAAGGAAGGCAGCTTTTGAGACTGTCCCAGGGAGAAGGTTCTACAGTGTAATCACCTCACTGTTTCACCACTCGTCCCTTGATGGTCTGCTTCAAATTTCTGTTAGATCTGTTGGTCTAGTTTAATGATAAAATCGCAGCCTGACATTTCAGGGTCTGCTTCTCTGGACAGTACAGAACAGCTTTCCTAGTTCTAGATGCTAGGTCCTCCTCTGGGCGTTTGTGCAGGGGTGGGTCAAAGCAGGGAAAGAGGGGGTGAAGGAGTGCCTTCAGCCAGGCACTGGTCTCTCGAGGGGCTAGGAAAAGTGGAAAGTCCCTACCAGCCCCTGGAGCGTCCCTGCCTGGCCGGCAGTCCTAACCAGATCTCGCCCATATCCAGAGATAATTCAAATGCACAATGGCCCCTACATTCCACATTTGGATTTCGATCCAAACCATGATTTAGGAGTTGGTGACACGGTGCTAACTCCCGACTCTATGAGTTCAAAGCCCTTGAGATCTCAATCCTGCTCCATACGAATGGTAACTAATTCCCTGGTTGAATCCTGTGCTGAGAGCACATTAATTATGTTATTCACACACCACCCATCTAACTTAAAGTCTCCTCTAAAAGTGCAATTAAATGGCTCCACCAAGTCTTCATGGTGTAAAAACATGACCGCACCTGTCCATATTCTTAATTTCCATCCAGGAGTCCTTGTTCTGAAAGTACTAGTGAAACCACCAGACAGCATTTCCACTACCCCATGTATGACAGAGAGACTGAGGACCTGGGCCTGTGATGTTATTTTCAAGGTTACAGAGTAAGTCTGATGTAGGACCATATTCTAGAATTCCAAGGGATTGAAAGCCTAAGAGAAATGTAGGGAGTGTGAACAACATTTGGTTAATGTTGCGAAATAAAACGAAGCCCCAAAGAAACAGCTTGTCCAAGGTCACACAGCTGGGAAAGGTGGGTCCAGGTGTAGAATTCAGATCCTGGGTTCAGTATTCTAGCCTATGCCATGCACTATATTTTAGCTACGCGGTTATTTATTTCTTTATTTCAATCTTTATTCTCTCCTCTCCCTTCCCCCTTTATTTAATCCTAGGGCCGGGAGCTCCATTCATTTACTCATTCAGTCTCCCAGTCCCCAATTCAGTTACAGGGAACCAGTGACATCCACAGGGAACCCCAAGCTGGGGATGACCTTAGTCTGGGGGGGGGGTGGCCTCTGAGACTACCCCAATATTCCCTACATCCTGGCGGGTTTGGGGGTAAGACAGTTGCCACAGCCCGCTTCTTCCCCTCTTTTGCCCTCTGTGGCTTCCCTCGCAGCGAAAAGCAGACCTCGCCCCCGCGTCCTCCCCCTCCCGCCACCCTGGAGTGGTATGTGCAGGATCAGAGTTCTGGAAAGGTTATGCCCTGGTCCTCTCGCCCGAGTGAAATGTGAGCACCCTGGGCAAAGGCTCCTTGCACATAGAAGGACCGAATCCGGGACTCCGCATGCCTTACTGCTCACCCTCCTGCCACCAAGCGCTGTGGAAGCGGCCGTAGCCCGCCCCTCCCCCGCCCACCTGTCGCCGCCCCCCACCCTTGCGCTGAGCCCGGTCCCGAAGCACCTGCCCAGCCCCCATCGGGCCACATTGCTTCGGGTCAGCGTCACAGCTCAGCTTCCCGAAATAGCCCTGGGCCGGGGCAGAAACTTACCCACTGGAGAACTTTGATGAAGCCTAGCGGCTCCTCCAGCCGCCGCCAGCGTATTCCCTCGAGCAGGCGATCCACCTGCGGAGGCAGAGCCCGTGGGGGGTTAAGGCGCCGGGCGCCGGGGCAGAGGCGGGTTCCCTCTTGCCACTCACCCCGGGGGGCAATGGAGGGCCAAGTTAGAGACAGGCCGGACTTGGGCGGGTCGCAGAGGGGGCGCGCGCAGTACCTGCTGGCGCGGCGACTTGTCCGCCGCGCGGCCGGGGCTCTCCGTCGAGGACATGCTGTCACGGCGAGGCGCGGGCAGAGCGCAGCGGCTCGGCTGCCTCGTCCGGGGGCTTCGCGGGGGCTGAGGGGATGCTGGCCCGCGGCGGCGCACGCGAGCGGTGCCGGAGCAGAAGCGGCCGTCGGCGCGCCGGGATCCAGGCTGGCGGGGTGGGTCGTGGACGGCGCTGCTGCTGACAGCGCTTGCACCGGCTGCGGCCGCCGCTCCGTCCCGCCGGCTGCAGAAAGCCCCCGAGGCCGATTCAAACTCCTGTCAAACTCCGCAGCGCACTTGGCAGCCGAGTCACGTGGCGTGCGCTGGTGGACTCTCCTCCGCCCCCTCCGCTCCCTCGGCTCCACTCGCTGGACGCCTTAAAGGGACCTGTGGTCTCCGCAGCAACTTGGTCTTCAAGGGGGATCAGGTTCCTGGTTGGAGGTGTGTCCAAGACCCGGGCCAGCTGGAACCCAAGGCGGTTCCCACTCTGCAGAAAAGTCGCCAACTGCTGCCTGGCACGCACGGACACAGCGGCTCCTGTTAGATCTTCCCGGGCCGGCTGGGGTTCGGAGCTGCCCTGCGCTAATGTTTCTTTTCTTCAATTCCATACCTCCCAGAAATTAATTTTTTTTCATAAGGCATTATCAGCTTTGAAGTAAAGTTCTAGCATTTACGATGATTGTATCACTGGCTTCCCAAAGCTTCGTGATAAACCGCTTTCCTCTGATTCTGCCTGGAGGGGTATTATTTTAGCACTTTTAATAAAGAAAGCAACTGGACATCTGTGATGTAAGTGGTCCTCTTTTTTTTTTTTTAAAGATTTATTTTTTTATTGGAAAGGCGGATATACAGAGAGGAGAGACAGAGAGGAAGATCTTCCGTCCGATGATTCACTCCCCAAGTGAGCACAACGTCCGATGCTATGCCGATCCGAAGCCAGGAGCCTCTTCCGGGTCTCCCACGCGGGTGCAGGGTCCCAAAGCTTTGGGCTGGCCTCGACTGCTTTCCCGGGCCACAGGCAGGGAGCTGGAAGGGAAGCGGGGCTACCGGGATAAAACCGGCGCCCATATGGGATCCCGGGCGTGCAAGGTGAGGACCTTAACCACTTGCGCCACCGCGCCGGGCCCAAGAGGTCCTCTTTAAACCAAGCCTGCTTCATGTTTTCTCTGACAATCGCCGTTTACAGGAGAGTGGAGGAATGGAGGAGAGCAAGGCACAAAGAAGGGTTTGACAAAACAGACCTTGTTGCATTTTAGTCAGCTTAAAATCGGTCTCTGCTTTTCCACAAGCGTTCGGCAGGAGCGCTGAGGAAGCAGGCGTGGGTATGAAATATTCGTTGTATGAGAATGTGAGGGTAAGGAAAAAACACTTGGGTGATTTGAGCCAGGACGCAGAGGGAGCAGGTCAGATTGTACTTGGTGCTGACCCTATCTATCAAGGGCATCCAGCTGAGACGAGGTAGGAGGAGGGGGCATTGCGCCTTAAAGCTCTCTGGGCTGTTATTTACACGACCACAGACCCACGTTGGTAAATGTCCACTTTTTCCTTTGTTTCATCTAATTTACTCATTAAAAAGTGGATTAAAATGTCTTATAAAATTTGAACCTGTATGTACCGTCATACATTCCCTCTCTCCTGTGGCCCAGAGATAACCACCATTCTATTTTCATACTTTGGTTATATACAAGGAAGTTCATGAAAACTGGAGTTAAAAGATATTTAGTTTGGTGAAAAAAAAGAAGATTGAAATCCATGCATAGTATTTTAGAATCTGCATTTTCTGTTAACTTCTCGAAGACTCCTGGTGTATGTATCCACAAGCAATGCATTGCATTGAAACTCATCAAGCATAGCGTTCCTTTTAAAAAAAATTGTTTTGGAGTTTGGTGCTGTGGCATGGTGAGGAAAACCACCATGGCCTGCAATGCTACCACTCCTATTGGCAGCATTCTGAGTGCTGGCTGCTTCACTTCTGAACTTGCTCTCTACTTGTGGCTTAGGAAAGCAGCAGAGGATGGTCCAGGCACCCTCATAGAAGACCCACAAGAAACTCCTGCCTCCCTGCTTTGGACCTGCCCAGTTCTGGCAGCTGCGGCCACCTGGGGGAAAGAACCAGCTAATTGAACGTTCTCTCTCTCTCTCTGTGACTCTGCCTTTCAAATAAATATATCCTTTAAAAATGTTTTAAACTATTTAACTAATACCACCCTTTGGGTAGCCTTAGTAAACCTGCCATTTTAACTTAATAAAATATAACTTAAAAAACTTAAAAAACATAACTTAAAAAACATAACTTAAAAAACTCGTGTTTATGAGAGTTATGTAGCCAATGCATGTAGCTTTAGTTTATTTATTGTAGCTAAACAAAATTCCACTGGCTCTTGGTTTTTGATTGGCTCAGTTCTGGCCATTGTGGCATTTGGAAAGTGAGTCAATGGATGGAAGATCTGTTTCTCCTCTATGAAATCTGCCTTTCAAATAAAAAATAAATAAAATCTTGAAGAAATAAAGATAGGAAGAGAAAGAAGAAGGAAGGAGAGAAAGGAGGAAAAGAAGGAGGGAGGGACAGAGGGAGGGAAGGAAGGGAGAGAGGGTGGGAGGAAGCAAGGAAGGAAGGAAAGAGGGAATATAATAGGGCCCAGCGCTGTGGGCAGCACAATAATGCTGCCCAAGACACAGGCATCCTGCTTTGGTACAGGTTTCAGTCCTGGCTGCTCCACTTCTGACCCAGCTCGCTGCTAATGGGCCTGGGAAGTCAGCAGAAAATGGCCCAAGTGCTTGACCCTTTGCACCCACATGGAAGACCTGGAATAAATCCTGGCTCTTGGCTTTGGTGTGGGCCCGCCCTGGTGGTTACAGCCATTTGGTGACTGACTCACTGGATTAAAGGGATCTCTCTATGTCTCTTCTCTGAAGCTCTGCTTTTCAAATAAATAAATGAATCTTTAAAAATGAACAGCAGAGGGGCAAAAAAAGAATACAACAACTTGAATACAATGTTAGTAACAGGCTTTGTGTTAGTAATAGGAGTTGTGGAGCTGGAGGGGCCTGAAGCTTAAGCATCCTCACATTGCGGGTAAATATTCCCAAGGAGACACATTGAACTGATCGGCTAATTCACTAATAGAAGGCTTCTATCAGTAGTTTGAGAAGCATTGCTGTATACTTGAAAGTAAGTTGGTTTAATCCCAAGATGTGAACATCATAAGCTCTGAATTTGGCAAATGCATCTGCCACTCTGTCTCTCCTCCTGTGTATCTGACTTTCCAATAAAAATCTTAAAAAAAAAAAAAAGAATGCTGAAATGTTCTCTTTCCATTATTTTGAAATATACCAAGAACTATGTTAACTCTAGTGATCCTGCTGAGCAGTAGATCCCAGGACAGGTTTCTCCTGCTGCGTTTTAGCTGCTGACTGACCTCTTCTGGTCCCCATAGCTCCCTCCTCCCCTTTCCATTTTCTGCTAACCAATATTTGATTCTCAACTGCTAAAATGTCATTCTTCCTTTAAAAAAAAAAGATTTAATTGTTCATTTGGAAGACACTGTTAGAGAGTGAGAGAAGGAGAAACACACACACACAGAGGGAGAGATGGAGAGGGCGGAGAGAGAGAGAGAGAGAGAGAGAGAGGAGAGTCAATCTGCTGCTTCACTCTCCAGAGTGGGTTGGTCCAAAAACCATGGGTGTCCCATGTGGGCGCATGTGGGCCACCCTCTAGTGCTCTCCCAGGCACATTATCAAGGAACTAGATGGAAAATGGGACAGCCAGGACTTGAACTGGTTCTCAAGCAGGATGCTGGCACTGCAGGCAGCAGCGTTACTTGTTATGCCTCAACGCTTTCCTGAGATGAACTTTATTTAGATTCTACAAATGGGTAAGATAATGTGGTATTTGTTATTTTTTTTTTTTGGCCTGGCTTATTTCACTTACTATAATGCTCTCTAGATTCGATCATCTAGTTGAGAATGACATATTCAGTCATAAGGCATGTTTACTACTTTTCTTTATCTGTTCATCTGTTGATATGTACCTAGTAGTGGGGTTGATAGGTCATAAGGTAGGCCTGTTCTTAATTTTTAAAAGGATTCTAAATAGTTTTATGCCAATCACATTGGCAATCTATGTGAAACATTTAGTTCTTCGAAAAATACAAATTCTTTCTTTTTAAAAATTTATTTGCTTTAAAGTCAGAGTTACAAAGAAAGACAGAAACAATGAGATCTCTACTGGTTTCCATCTGCTGGTTCAGTTCCCATATGGCTAGAATGGGCATTGGCCAGGAATAGACCACACTGAAACTGGGAGCCTGAGTATTAGGAACCTAACCACTTGAGCCATTTTCCATCTTTTCCCAGGTAAGCTGGATCAGAAGTAGAGTAGCCAGGACATCAATCAGCATCCATATGGGATGCCAACAATGTAGGCAGTGCCATCACTGGCTATACCACAATGCTATTCTTCCAAAACACAGATTCTGAAAACATATCCAGCCAAAAATTTAATAGCCTGAAATTTATTTGAAAAATAATATATATTTTTACATCTTTTTCTGAAATAAACAACTGAAGGCCTAAAAGGCAAAGTCACACACACACACACACACACACACACACACACACACACACACACACAGAAAGAGAGAAAGAGAGAGAGAGAGATTTTGTAATAGCGTTTGGCCAAAGTCAAGAACCAGGAACTCCTTTCTGATATCCCACATCGATGGCAGGGGCATAAGTGCCTAGGTCATATTCCACAGCTTTCCCAGATATGTTATCAGGAACCTGGATTGGAAACAATGTGACCAGGACTTGAATGGGTGCTCAAATACAGGATGCCAACCTTGAAAGCTCAACCCAATGTTTTAAAACACCAAATCTTCCACTGAACATTCAAAGAATAATAGCATAATAATGTGTTCTCTCAAGAAAATAAAGATCAAAACCTATGGTTTAACTAACTGATTTTAAATAAAACCTAATGAGAGTTTGAGTGGGGCAAGCAAGCTGATTGATCGTGTGGTTGT